TATAGGCAATAGTGGTGAAGGACTGACTGGAAAAGTCTTGGAATTGTTCCTTTTTCCATGGAGCGTTTGTGGCATGCTAAACAGAAATGCCCTGTCACAGACACACTGATTATATGAATTGCTGATGGAGTGATTGTTATTTATTTGAAAAGCAACATGCTGTATTTACCTTAGTTTCTACACATTATGCATAATTTTCCCCCTCCTAAAAATAGTGTGCTGGAGGCTGATTTACTGTGTAGCTTATATACACAGTTGGCAAAAAGCTGGATGGGCCTTGCCTAAAAACTTCTCACCTAGCTGAATGAGCAGGAAATTGTTCCTATCTGAAGTCATCTGTCAAAGGCTTGTTTGTATTCCTTACATGAATTAGAAAGTTGTCATGTGCTTCATTTTTGACAAAATCAGCCAAGCCTAAATCAAGCTTGTCCCTTTCTTACCCATGATTTTGTATAAACTCTTCTTCCCAGGCTCTGCCTCTGTAACTTGGGTGGTGTGGCTGGAGCACTTAGTAGTGAAGACTAAGGCAGAAGTACCTCAGCCTTCTTTATGTTCAGGGTAACCAGAGCTCCTGCTTCCTTCTAGAGAGGGCCCATGTTTCCCCTAGTCTTCCTTTTATCACCCACATACCAGTAGAAGCTTTTTTTGTTGTCCTTGACATCCCTGACCAGATTTATTTCTATTAGGGTTTGCTTTAACTTTCCTAACCTGATCCCTTACTGCTTAGACAATTTATCTGTATTCCTCCCAGGCTATCTGACCTTGCTTCCACCTTCTGTAGACTTCTTTTTTGTTTGCTCCTAATTCATCCATGAAGGTCTCCTGGTATTTTTGTTTCACTTCCTCTTTGTTGGGATGCATGACTCCTGATCTCAGAGGAAGTGATCTTTTAATTTTAACAAGCTTTCTTGGGTGCCTTGTCCTTCCCTTTAATTCTGACCTGTAAGGTGTCAGTCAGCTCCTCATCCAACCCCAGGTGGAGCTCCATGCACTACACCTGGTCACTGACAGAGGGTGACACCTCCTTCTCATCTCCTCTATCCTTTCTCAAAAACCTGTGTATTTCTATTCCAGCATTCCAGTCACAGAAGCCATCCCACCATGTCAGTGTGAGGCCAGTGAGATCACAGACCTGCAGGAGTGCACATCTCTAATCCCATTTTGTATTCTGCATGCTGCATATACTTGCAGAGAGGCATTCATGTTGTGCTGGAGTGGTTGTGATTACTTTGTGCTGCTCTTCTGGTGCTCTCCTGCTGAACGCTCTCCAGGCTCTGTGCATCTCTTACTGGCACTAACATCAAACTGGTATGACTGGGATGGATTGAGGTGCCCCTCCACCAACATAATTTCAAATATTGGTACCACTGGAAAAAACCAGTCCCAAGTGGCTGCAGGTGTATGTCACATTTACAGGCTTGGAAAACGAATCAAGAGTCTTTCCCAGCTGCATCCACGTTGAACATGGACAGTCTGTGCTCAGAGTCTCTCAACTGTTCTGCAGGCTTCTGGTTAGGAAGTGTTATGTGTTTTCACATGTCAGTTTGTAGCACTATGGAACAGAGAAATTATTTTTGCATTTGAAGTCAGATTCCTGGAAGTGCATCAACCCTTGTTCTACATGCAGGCAGAGACAGACAGCTAGAGAAGAGAGGAAAAAGGCTGCCAACTTTCCAGTAATACAGGAAGAGCCCCAAGCCATTTGTTCCTTCTCATTATCGGCTGGTGATACAGTCACCAGACACTGCAGATATTGTACCAGGACACTCAGTGGTGCTGGGCCTCACCCTGGCTGTGTCAGCAACACACCTAGAGTGAGCTATGGCAGGGATCAGTGAACCTCTGGAAGCACACACTTCCCAGAAAAACAAGGCACTAGATTGCCAGCAGCTGTCCAAAACAGAAACTGGTAATATCACTGTAATCACAGTGTGTTAGTGCACGTATATAACATGGTCTCAAACCGATCTTGAGCAGAGCTGGATTTAGAATTAATTTAAAAAAAACTCGCAAAAAACAGACCACAAAAAAACCCCAAAACCCCTCCAAAACAAAAGCAAATCAATTACAACAAATAAACCCCAGCCCCAGCACTATGTTTATAATTGCTACAGCAAAACATAGCTTTATATTCTTAAGTAATAGTAACTATTTAGCATTCTGGTACAACATGCTTCAGTCAGCAGCGTTGGGTCTAGGGAGGAACAAGAAACTGATTTAAAATAATTCCTTTCCTCAGAAACAGCAAGTGTGTTGTCTTGCATTGCTGAGCTGTGAGTTTGTTTAAAATTGGGCATGTCTACGTTACAAAACGGTTTTAGTCATTCTCTGACAGCTGATATTAAGCAAAGGCTGCTTGGTAAAGGAAAGCTTCTATTAAATATGTCTTCTGGTCTTTGTAATGATGACAGAAAGCTGTCAGTATAAAAGAGTATTTTTAAAGAGGCTGCCGATAGAAAAAAAGCTTTACAGTTTTGTACTTTAGTTTACAGTTTTGTACTTTAAAAATAGTATTCCTAGAAAAACAGAGTTGGGTGGCAGAAATTATTATGCTTCATCGATTGCAAATTGGAACTTTCTGTTCTTACCTGGCATTAAACTACAGAATTTCCTCACTGTGTGAGATACTTCGGGCAATGATCACCTTCTCATTTCCCTTTGTTAAACATCCAGGATATAGCTTCACCTGATACCAAACTCTTCCATGTGTTTACAGCAGAAAGCACGGTAAAAGAATTTAAAGCTGATTTATGAACTGTCTCTGCTTGGTTTATATTGATCCCACTCACTTTCTTCTGACCTTGAAAAATCTCATGTTTCTAAGATGTTTTTCTCCCTGCACTGCTGGGGGCTGTGGCTACTTTCAAGGAGGGAGTATTCTCTCAGTTGCTAGGATTTCTGCATGTCGAGATAAATCTGTGATAGGCCTGAAGCAAGATGTGCAATGAAGCTATGGAGGCCATGAAGTCTATCCCTTGGAAAAACATGGTAGCAGCAGTAATGCTGCCCCTGTAACAGCCATCCCACCTGGCTCTTCTGCTGGATGTACTCCAAATTTAGCAGCATTTCTGCAATTCTCACTTGCCCTTTGGCCCTAAGGCAGCTCTGAGCACTGGTTGCTAGAAGCAAAGCTCCTTCTCCAAGCCCAGCAGCACTGAGCACACCACTGTAGCTGGTGTGTGCCATCCACCCAGGTTCCTCTCACCACCAGCCCCTACTTTGGCAGGCTGCAGGTATCCAAACCAGATACTGCAACTCCTTTGCTGCCAACGCTTAGGATTTTGTCACCCGCATCTCATAAAATCCAGTCAGAATATCATGACAACCTGGCCCCAGGTAACCCTCACTAAAGGGTGCAGTGTATTGCCTTTGGCTGGCTGCCAGCCCCCTCCCCAGTGCAGCAGGTGGAGGATCAGGGCTCATAAGCCCCCTTGCTCCACAGCCCACTGCTGGCACAGCAAAGCTGTTTTGGCTTCTGCTGGCTGTGCTGTCTTGCCAGGATGGACCTGTTTCTGAAAAAGGAAACAACTTTCACAGCTTATCCTTCTCACATAGCGTGGGAGTGAGTGACAGATTATTGCACTCTTCCTGTTCAGTTGCTTGTCTTAAATAGCCAAAAGAGATCCTCCTCACTCTGAAGAATCAATATTATTTTTTGCCTAAAGTTTGAATTTAATGCAAACATCTCTTTAATCTGTTCATTTCCAAATCAGCTGTAGAGGGACTCCTACTGCTTAACAACAGCCTCTAAACTCACAAGTGTATTGAAGCATTGTAATTTCAGTATTGAAAGAGAGAAAATCATCACAAGAAATTTACTGGTTTCAGTACCTGTTTATTTACTTTACACAAGAAAGTTACCCCTGCAGTTTCAAAAGTGGAAAACATGGCAACTTTTACTGTGATAATGGAGAAATAACAGATGACAAATTATTACAACAGGCATTTTATTCACTGTTTTACTTACTCTCAAACAAACACACAAGCATACACACATCCTCTCCAAGAATCAAGTTAGAAGTTTTAAAAATACAATAAAAAAAGTCAATAAAAATATTTCAACTTTTTGCCTGAAAAAGAATGCTTTTTGCAATTTTCTGGCAGAACATTAACATGACTTTAGCTATCCTAGTTCTTACCTGAAATTCTGGTTATGTTCAGGGGAAGAAATGTATACGACCAGTATTCTCATTTGCCATTAATATGTAAATGAACATGGTTTTTGTTTCGGCAGAAAAATCTTATTCTGCACAGATAGGAAAGCTTTCCTCCATAACTGTTACCTCCTCAATGAATGTACTATTTGCTGACAAACTCATTTGCTGACAGATTTATCATTTATGTTCTATTACAAATAATTCAAAACAAATAATACAGTCAATTTGTCTTGCACTATCCTGTGTTTGACTGGGATTAAACACAAATAGGAGTTATTTTTCTTAAGGTATCATGCTGCTAGATTTGCAGTTCACATAAAAAGGGGTGTGCACAGCCTTACTCCAGCGCATCATGGCCAAGATCCTGGCTCACAGTGCTGAAGTAATCAAGTTACCCAGTGACTGACATCTGTCAATCATCATCCAGATGAATTAAAAAGAAGTATACAGAATGCAGCTAAAGATAAGCTTTTTTAGGTCATATAGAAAGTATTTCTTAAGGCTTCTGCAATACAGTATAGCTAACATGGTCACTTTATCACATTAATCCTACGAAAATGTATCTAGCTATGCATCAGCAACTTTAATCTTAAAAAATATTTGACAACTCAAGTTTTTTTACTGTACACATGTAAGCTGGCTGCTCAACACTATTATCTTCTTCTGATGGGAATAATTAAATATTCAACCTAATCTTCAGATTTTAAAGGTTTCCGGTCTGTAGCTGAATACCACTTCCTAGGTAAGCATATTTTTCCTGAAAAAAGTCCAACGATAGCTTGATTACACAGAAATCTGTGAATCTTCTGCACCCAAAGAGGCAGAATGCCTAATGAGAGACAGTCACTCACCATCCTTCCCAACAGCTGTAAGGGAACCATAATGTTCACCCGCAGAAACTAGGTACTGATAATCAAGCAGGACAAGCAGTATATTTCCCTCCTAAGTATGGTATTAAATAACAGTGTGAGTTGCCTCCTCTGCTTCCTCCACAGCACTCTTTTGTTTGTAGGCACAGTGAAAGTCATGAGAACCTTGTGTTCTCAGACATAGAATATAGTATTTATTTGATAGAGTATAACAACCAGGTCACACAGCACCAAGCAACCCCTATTATGCTTGTATCTTTGGTACTTGTTTTAAATGAGAAACTCAACAAGTGAAAATAAGTCTCTGTTCTTTTTCAACAAGCAAATTTAATTTTTGAGGTTTTGTTGGTGCAGATTAAGTAGGGACAAAGAACAAGAGTGCTTCTAAGAATTTATGGAATGAGTTGAGCACAGAGATTGTACAATCACATTTGCAAACACCTGAATGTCTACTGTAATGGGAGACAGATTACTAAAACAACATGTTTTATCCAGTTTTGAGTTAAAAGATAAACAGGTAGAGGGATAGTGCCTCTAACCAATGAGCACGTGTGAAAAAATCTAACCTAAACCAATAACTAAAAATTGTTTAAACTTGGCAGTCATGGCCAATCCTCACGCTACAACCATCAGCAATTTCTTCTAATACATTTATGAAAGGCTCTCATAATGTAGGGTAATGTGAAAGCTGCTAAAAACAGGATACAGAAGCAGGATTTTAGGAATTCTAAAACATCCTCTGTGTCTTTTTATGCCTTGTTTTCTATTGCACAGAAAAGACAGAAAAAATATTTCTAAATACCCACCTATCTGACCACACAGCTTCTTCAAAATATTTTTTTCTCTCTTAAGCCAAAACTAAAGAACAATTTAAACCAGTTAAACATAAGGATGACAGGTTTTGCTGCTATAGAAGTCTTGCCGATGTCTGGTATTCTATGAGATACTCTGGATAAATCTGCTGCTTCTCAAAGATGACAAAGATAGAAGGGTTGGAAAAGTTATTCACACAACTGTCATAGAAGTTTTGGCTGTCCTTCATGGGAGGCCGAACGTAATCAGAACTACCAAGAGTGAACTCCCCGACCAGCACTCGTGCCAGAAACATGGTTTTGGTGTGGGAGTCTGCCCCACAGTAGTTGTCAGAATAAGATGCATCCCTTGCAAAATAGCTTCCTGCAGAAGAGACACCAAGACAGAGTTGGTAAGAGACACCAAAACTACAGGAACAAAATGATACTGCGTGAAAATGAATTAATAAACAAATCTATTAAGCAATTCACGAACAGCTTTTCCAAAGCCTGTCCTCTACATCCCTCTTAGTGGAAATGACCACTAAGCACTTTTTAGTTTTCACAGAACACGTGTGTTAAAAAGATATGTTTACAATGGTATCATAATCCTCTAAAGGATTTCCTCCTGACCCTAGATGTCCATCTTCCCCAATATCACCACATTTCCCCTCCTGGCAGAGTCTACTAATATTCATTAGCACAGTTAGACTTAATGATCCTTGTGGGTGCCTTCCAACTCAAAATATGCTGTGATTCTCTAACATTTCTGAGAGTTACAAAGTATTCAAGCAGATAGGCATGTAGTCAGCCAGTCAGCCAGTCTCAGCTATTCCACTTGATATGCTGGTAATTTCCTGTGCACAGCACAATGTAAAAGGATATAATTTGTTAACAAGGAAAAAAGCCTGTAACCAGAATGGCATTTAGATTCCTGGGAAAAACAAAACAAAAACCAAACAAACAAAAAAAAACCCCACACAAAAAGACCAAAAAACCAAAGAAACAAAAACAAAAAACAACAACAACAACAACAAAAGGCTGCTTTCCTATAGGAGCTGGGAAAAACTAGAACAGCAGGAAGCCTGGAGTCTAGCAGAAACCATCCCTATAACTGACTTCTAAGTCTATCTTTTCTTTCTTTTCTTGCAAGAACTTAGGAAAGCAGAGGCCAAGGCCTTTCAGAGTGCCTTAGCTCCAAATGACCTTTGTGAAACTCAGCTCTGTTGCCCACATCACAACAGAGAGAAGTACCACCTTGTAAACTTTATCCCTCTGAAGTGAATACTGATAATTTTTTAGCAAGTCTAGGATTACTGAAAGAGCTGAAAAACAACCTTTTCCGTAGACTGTCCCATGAAGGCCGCAGATTCTCCAGTCAAAGTTTTGCTGACAGATGGCCTCAATGTCTTTTTTACTGGTCCCATGAAATAAAAATCGCTCATCTGCAGCCTTTCCACCATTGCTCTTCTGCATTAGGTCCTTCTGCCTGCAATGAGAAGCAGAATCTTTGCAGTTCCACAGTGGCTGTACCCACAGGTTCCAGCCACTCAGAAACAATTTTACATAGAGTATATTCTGAAAACCTTTACAGCAAGGCCTAATTTAGGCACACAAGCATGCTTTCATTATACATAAATGCTTTACTACAAATGTTTTCTTTCATTCACTGCCTGTGAAGAGAGAGGGAGGAATCTCAGTGTTATTTTTTTTCCTGAACACAGGAGTTTATATTAAGGTTTGCCCCCCATGAGTTTTGCATTTAATTTTCAAGGCTTTTTCAGTTTTGACCAGCTGCAAAACATTGTGCTAGATATGGCTCATTACCAGCTTCAAGGTTTCACTGGAAGGAAGCTGTCATGGACACAGGCCTGGCAGAAGTCAGGAGCAAGGATTCCTCCCATACAGCCCTGAATCTGACTGTTCTGTGTCTTGACTAAGCTTTGGGTTTGTTGCTACCTTCTTATCTAAATATTGACACTAGGTAGATATTTCAGTGGGAGAGTGGAAGTAGAGGCATTTCAGGAATGCATGTTCTATCTTTAGCACAGAACATAAAGCTAACTGCAGAAACAACAGACATCATGCATATATACCAGTGTTTTACACATACCATTGATACAGCTCCCAGAGGGATGGGTTCTGAACTCTACAAATCTTTTTAATAGCTGCTCTGGGCATTGTGCGCTGAAAGTCCACTTTGACTTTCTTGTATTCTTCAGAAGAACAGTCAAGCTCAATCAGCTGCAAGGAAAAGTTTAAAAAGTTACTTTTGCATGCTTTTGTGCAGCCACTCAACCCCTCTTAATATCTGGGTCAAGATATATTTGTATGCATCAAACAGTGTCTAAGTACACAGCAGAAATGAGCACAAAAATAAAAAAAGAATTTAAAATTTATGTTGCAGAAAACCAGAAGATCTTTCTAGTTTATACTCCCTACAGTCAGTGAACACAAACTGCACTGCCTGTTGTGTTACTAAATCAATTGATGAGGCTTTATTCGAGCAATTTTAGGGAAAAGCATGGTCACACTTCTAAAAATCAGTTCCTTTCATGACAGCCCTGAAAGCAAGCAACGTTTACTTGCATATTTTGGTAGGAATATAAAAAAATGTCAACATTAGTCTTGCCTATTTCTTAGTGACAACTTCTTGAGGATTTGCATTTTGCAAGTTAGTGATTTTTGAGCATCAGATAACACCTTTTCTGCAGGTACAGTTACTAGAGTTGACAGAGGAGCTGGTGGAAGCAGACAGGGAGTCAGAGAAGGTAAACCACACATATGTGTGGTTACAAAGGTAAACAAGTTTACTCCACTAGAGTGAATAAAATAATAGTAAACGTAATGATAAAAGATCCCATCCTGAACAAGCTGCCCTGAGAGGTTGTGGAGTCTCTCTGGAGATATTCAGTACCCACCTGGACACAATCCTGTGTGACCTACTCTAGGTGAACCTGCTTTTGCAGCGGGGTTGGTCTCTGATCTCGAGAGGTTTCCCATTCCAAGCCCAACCATTCTGAGATTCTGTGAACTCTCCTGGTTTCAGCAGTTCTCCATAGACATACAATAGTCTACAGGTAAGGGAATGGCTACCCTGAACTTCAAAGGCATCATTTACCTCTGATGCTTTCACCACATGTTGGGACTTTAACACTCTGTATTTTGGGCATCAGTAGCAGTCTTCTTAACACAGAAAATTTGCCAAGGCAAGGGATTAATTAACAGTAGCAGTGAGAGTCCTTGCTGCCACGTTTTTACTGCCACCTTTGTTTAAATTCGGGTCTAGTTTCACCTCCAGGTCTGCTCAGTGTGGTATCAGGTTTAAGCTTATCCATAGCTCTGTATTATGCTACACAGAAACAGTCATTTACAAAGCCAGAAGAAACACTGAACTTGTGATGGAACAAACCTTACATGACAAAACTGACAGAAAAAACTAAAAAAAGCTCCAAACCTTGAATCCCAGTTCAGGCAGGGCAGATTTGTCCCAGTGAGCTGGAATGTTCTTAAACCCTTCCGTATGTTTAACACCCCTGTAGATTAAGACATTACAAATAGACAATTAAAATAAAACTAAGCATGACATTTTATGTGCATATTATACTGAACATTTTTGTCAAGCTTAGGGAGAATATAGGCAACTGAACATATTCAAAAATATTTCAAAACTGTCATTTCTGTTCAGCACACGAAAATATTTGTTCCAAGTCATCGTGTCAAGACTTATGTCAAGAAGCAAGATGCCAAATGAGAAAAAAAGAAATATATACTCTGAACTAAACACAAGGATTTCTCTTGCAGAATTGAATGTATATATAAAAGACCTTCTACACGAGGGGAGATAAATACAAATGCATCCAGTATCACATTAGTAAGACAGAAACGGGATAGATACAGCCCATCCCTGTACTTCCACTCCAATTTTAATTGTGTTTAGCTGCTCTTTTCAGTGTTTAAGCGAGGACTGTGTGGTGCAAGGGGTTGTGCAAAAATTGGCTGTTACATGCAACTCTATCCCCTTGCTCTACCTGTAACAACTACTGCTTTTGTTTCAATTGTCTGGCTGCTCTCACAAGAATTTTTCTAAACTTGCACTTAGCTTTGAAAATTACTCATCTCAGAAAGAGCCAGTACACATAAACACATTGCTAAATGTTGAATTATTCCCAACATTTCCATACTTCCCGTGGCCAAGCTCGAATTTTCTTCACCACAGAGGCTCCTGAGTTGATTGAAAACGACTGGCCAGGCTGTAACTCTGCCCTGGCTAGACATGGTTGTAGGAAAGGTATATCCCTTTCCCTCTCCATGTCTTTCACAATTGCCTTAACAGCTACTTCTTCACCCTACTTTTACCCACGGAGGATTCAGCATTCACAAAGCACTAAAACCATCACCTCAGAATGAGCAGCTGTGGTTTACCTGGCTCTTGTCTTTTCCACCTCTGCCTGAGAGACAAATTTAGGTCTTCTGCAAATCTTCCTCTCTGTTCTGTAGCGTATATTTTTCTGCACCATGGCTGGGAAAAAAAAAAAAAACAAACAAAAACCCCATAAACTTTCAAAAATGCTTTTGAAAGCCTTCACACTGCAGCCACATTTGTCACTAAGTTGTTTTGTCAAAAACATCAACAAAAAGGCTCCCTCTTCCTCAATTTGCAACTGAGATAATTTTTTCCTACATTTAGTTGTAATTTCAAATCCTGTAAACAGAACTCAACATCTATCACAGACCATTTATTTTTATTGACCACCAAGAGAATTAAGTCACAGCAACCTAAATTTTAAAGGCATTCCTTCTGGATCTTGGAATCCCTGCATCTACTGTGACATAATACTAACAATTAAGAGTCAGTACCAGCCAGGACAATAAGGCCTCATATTCAGAGACAGATACACAGGAAAACAAACAAAAAAACCTCTTGACACCACCAAGCCTAGAAATTAAGTTCTGGAAGACATCTAAACTGCATATATTTGCCTAAGTTAGTAAAAAAGGCCAAACCTTAGAAAAGAGATTGATTCACTATGCAATTTTCACTTCTAAGCCAGACGAGTTTTCCCAGTATTGCATTTGATTGAATTACAAACAACAGATAACATGCCCTTTGTGGTTTTTTGTTTTGGGTTTTTTGTTTTGGGTTTTTTCGTTTTGGGTTGTTTTTTTGGGGGGGTTTGGTTGGTTGGTTTTTTAAAATTTTTTTTTCATGCAGAATGAGATAGTAATGGAGAGCTGGATCAAAGACAACTAAACCAAACTGACAGTCCAATCAGGCTGATTCTCACCACTGTTCTACATAATTTTTGAAAAGCATGCCAGGAAAGGCAACAGCTCAGAGAGGACAGTGCCATCACAAGTGACTTATATTTCCTGAACTCTTGGGAAACACTTCTTCCTACTTTGACACAGTCAAGGTATTTTCTCAGCCTTTCCAGACAGAATGAAGCAAAAATCTTGCAATGCTAAGGATTGTCTGGACCCTACACTTTGTCCAAGCATTTGTTTTTCCACAAACCAGTGATTAAAGTAGAAGAGAAGCTGGCTTGTCAAGTCTTCTAAAAGTTCCTCACCATTTGTGTTGGTGCCAGCATCAGTGTCATACTTGGACTTTCTGGCAGACATTTTGAAACCTAGCACAAGAACTTCTCAAAAATAAAAGCTTTGAAGGAATAGAATGCCACTCTGCTGATGTGAACAGATCTTATCCTGAGAACTTTGATAGAAGCTCTGTCTCTGTAAGCATTGCAATTCGAAGTCCAAATTTCTCTCTCCTATCTCCTGTAATAAGGTCGTTGAAAACCACAAGAACCTGGGAGGGAGGGACAAAACAGAAGAACAAAGCAAATGCAACCTACACACAAAATTTATTTCATATTCATGTCTTCCAGCTTTGAAGGTCAGCTTTGGAGAGCTTTCAGCCAAATAAGCTTTCTCTAGGTCATCACTGGAGACAGTAGCAGCTGCATGAATATCACCCTGTCACGCCAAAAACAGAGAAAAAAAAAAGTTTCTCCTGGTCTGTTATAGACAAGTAAGGTTTAAAAATCAAGAACTCTAGTATGTATGGTGGGTGCAGGATATATCAGCATATGAGAAATCCTTGATTTAGAGTGAGCACCACATAGCAACGACTAGACCCTCACTGTTTTATTCATGTTATTCTCATACTAAATGCAAACACAGTACTGTGCCAGCTACCATGGAGTAAATTAGCTCCATCCCAGCTGAAACCAGGACAGACCACACTTTCACCAACTAGACCAAAAAAGATGGCAGAGTACTACCGGAGCGTCAGAGGAGGAGGCTTTTCTCAGAAGCAATGGAAAAAAATATTATTACTGTGATCCTATCTGACACAACTCACTGAATAAGTGAGTCTGTTGATAATATTTGTGACACACCAGTGATCATCCCCCTACCTGAACCAATCAAAATCACAGGGAAAAGACCCTACTAGGCCTTTAATGTCTTATCTGTAAAGTATGAGTGAGACAAAGAGGGTGAAAAAAGAGGGGGAGGATATAAACACTGTGCACTTTCCAGTAGTTCTGTACTTCTCACACAGTTAGGAGACTCCCCATTTCTCCACACTTACTTGTTTTCCATACTCCTGCCACTTGTCATATTCATCTTTCCAGTACCAGATCCATTCTGTTGTAAGAATGAAGTGAGGAGGTTTGGTCACAGAGGAGGCTGTAGAAAGACGTCTGACTTTTTGCAACCCACAGCACATATCGTGAAAACGGACACAGAATGGGAAAAAGACCCGTTCGTGAGTAAGTGCATTATCAAATCTATAAAAAAAAGGAGGAAAAGAAAAGATCAGAACTGTTTGTGAAGCTTTACTCATAGATTCCGAAGCCCACTACAAATTTGCAAATTAAGTCAATCTCACCCAAATGCAGAATACAAAGGTGCAACTTTTCACTACAATATGTGTTTTGCACTTTGAACTTTTCAAAGCTCTGTATGCTAGCTCTCTTTCGTGTTTGTACATATTTTTCATTACAGCATTATGACTCACATTGGTTCTATGGGCAATAACCATAACTCACTCCTAAATTAGTGAGTTACGTAAGATGAACAGAGACAGTGGAAAACAAGCACTGCCTTCTTCTTCTGACCAGCTATATTTTAAAGAGAACACTGACATAACTTAAGAAGGGCTTCAAAGACCCTGTAACATAAGAGGAACAGGTAATTTTCCAGCATGGTATGTGGCATACTGGCATGAGGCCCTCCCAATACTCTCTTTGTGCTATATAACCAGTTCCAAACTCTGAAAGGTGTTTCCATATTCTTCAAGTGCTCTGCTCCCAAGAGTCTATCTATCTTTCTCTCTCTCTCTCTCTCCAGGTATTCTGCCAATTACAGGTATTCTGGACTGTGGGAAAAGCAGGAGTGAGGGGCAAATCTCATGCAAAGTGAGGTCAGTAGAAGAATGCCAAATAAAACCAAGTAATAACAACAAAAGAATTGTAGCAATTTATAGCCACTAAGGATCTGGTACAGTAGAGAAAATTCCAAATATTATAAATTTTTATAAGAGTTTATACCTGATGTTTTTTGGGTCACAATATGCTTTTTCTATTTCTTCCATATTTGTGAAGTCCTTCCAGGTATTACCCTCAGAGTACTGCCATCTATATGGCAAGTGAAAATGGGTTCTGATACACTTTTCTGTAATAGTTTTAGAAAAAAGAAGTAGGAGATGCATTATTTTGACAGGTTATGAGAGAACTCCAACATTTCAGGGCTGTATACCCAGCTGGTGAAATCATCTAAAGGATAGGGGAAGTGTTCACCTATGGAACCATTACAAGCAGTAGTTCAGAATTTTTTAGTGTAAGCAAACCACACTTGAATTTTTTTATTTAGGTAGAAGTTCAGTTTCTGTATATACTAGATTTATTTCATAAATAGAAAAAGAATGTATTTATGATTAACCACAAGTGTTCACCACAAAGTATCACAAGGGTTACTTAAGAGTTCAAAGAGTCATTGTGCAATCACTCCTCAACGGGAGTGAAGGTGACATCACCAGTGCACATGTGCATAAACCCACGGCCAATTTTCACAGCAGAGCAAAAGGAAACTTAACTACAGGGAAAGTCAAGGAGAAACTGCACCACAGTTCATATGAGGAGGTATTCGGTACACAGGTCAAGAACATCAAGAAGAAAAAGGATGGCAAAAAAGTCAACAAGAAAGCTGGCAAAGCAGCCTTTTTCCTGGACACCTTGGAACATTTTGAAAGGGAGACAGCTAAGACAGATGGAAGAGAAAAGTACTAGAAGAAATAATGGAGAATGTAGAATTCAGAGTATCTTTCATATCTTTCCTGTTTGGAAATGTGACTCCTATCATTCAGCAATCCTTTAGGTAAACACAGGTGGAGTAGCCAATCTCCAGCACAGGCAGATTCAGAGGAAAACAAAATACTTCCTTTGTCTGGTGTGCCAGGTCAAACATTTTCCTACAACACTCAAGACAGCAGTGAGATTTAACTAAACATAAGCATAAACTCTGAAGTTTCCCCTTTCTGTGAAAGATGTCTACCACCTCCTCTTTATGAGAGCAGAAAAACAGGCTGAACTTGACACAGTCTGTACTGATAGTTGAGACAACCTACCTTTAAAGCCACAGCTTCTGTACAGATGATATAAACATATCTGTTCTGATTCATTGTCCTTCGTAGCTGAGGAATCTTGTCCAGTGCTGGGTTTTCTATCTAAAGGGGGGAATTATAACTATTAATACACTTTGTATCAATAACACTTCTTAAAAGTGCTCCTATCCCTAGGTAAGATGCCTAAAGGCAATGTTTTTAACTACCTAACTGCACTCAGCTTCAGAAAGACAGGGAAGCCTTTGATAAACTTGTATACTCAAAGTCCCCTCCTTGTACCCATCCTTCCTTGATTTCCCTGTAACTGCTGAACTCCTCAGATACAGTTTTCAGCTATCACCATAAAACGAGAACAGAATCCAATGACTTTCTACTTCCAGATGGACTTGAGTTAACTGTGCATTCCACACAGCTGGTCACACTGTCAGCTATAAAATACAATGTTTCAAAATCTGATACTTTTGTAAATTAAAGCACATTAAAGAAAGGAAGATGGAACTGCAGGCAGAATAGTGGAGATGAGCATACACACTTGAATTCTCCATTTTGTTATGCTTTTTTTTCCCCCTGCTAAACTATACTTAACTTACAATTCTAAAGAACTTCAAAAGAAAAGTGCAAACAAAATATTGCACTTCTAAGAAGTAACTAGGATAGTGCTGCTTATGAATTCTTGTACTAGACAATTGCTACATTAAAGAAAAACAAATAAATATTTTATAATCAGACAATTACAGTTTATAATCAGACAACCACGGGTTTCTAACCTTTACGTATTTTACCTAAAAAAACCTCCAAAATTATAGAGCTCCCTACTTCCAGTTCGTGTTAAGCTTTTTTAACCCCAAGTTTAAAAAGTTCATAAACACCATCACTCTATTTCTCAGAAATCCCTCTTGACTTCACTTGTCAAGACAAAGATCTCTGTAAATGAGATAGGTACAAGGTCCCTCCTAAAAGACAAATCAAGATGTACATTCAGTTTTCTTAATGACACCAGTGAAAATATTAAATTCACTACCATGACTCTTCTATATCCAAAATATGGTATTATTTACCTTTGCATGGTGAAGACTTGGCATCTTCTATGTCATACATGTTCCTGTTGCCATTTTTTATGTCATACATGTTTCTATAAGTGGCAGGTAGTTTCTTAATAATGTCTGAGCTCATGCCCTGTCTCTCCAGTTTCTCAAAACATTCTGGATTTAATAAGTCATGGGACCGTTTGCAGCTGCTGCCAAATCTGCACTGACCCCTCAAAAAGTACTGGCAAACATGAAGTTTGCTGCAGGATGTTTTAAAGGAACAAGATCCATAAAGTCCATCACCTTTGTTATAATGCATGCAGACCTTGGGAAGGAGAAGAAAAAAGAATTTAAACATCAAAGTACAATGTGCTCATTTAGACTGTTTGAATCCATGATTTTTAGTTTTTTATGGCTATGTGCATAAATTTGCTTTTGAAAGAAACATCTCTTCTTTCTTCTTGTTTTCCAAATGATTACTTGATAGCTTTCCCTTTGCTAATGTTTAAAAAGATCTTTCAATAGACAACAATACTACAGACATTCTCAAGATGGGATTTAGTGCTAAGTCTCTTTGATTTTCCAGTTTTGGAATAGTTTTGTAATTTTTTGACCCAAATTTGATGCTAAGAGGTACTGGATCTGGCTGGGATGGAGTAAACTTTCTTCACAGCAGACCATACCACATTTGGGTTTGTGATCAAAACAGTATTGATAACACATCCCTTTTGTCTGTCTGGGTCAGCTGTCCTGGCCATGCTCCCTCCTGGCTCCTCCTGCACCTCCTCACTGGCAGAGCATGGGAAGCTGAAAAGTCCTTGACTGAAGGTAAGCACTGCTTGACAACAGCCAAAACATCACTGGGTTGCCAACTTTTCATATTAAATCCAAAACACAGCCCTGTTCATGATACCAGTAAGAAAATTAACTCTATCTCAGCCATAACCAGAACAGATAAACACCACACAGCCTCTCACTCCCTCCCTCCAGGAAGTGAGGATGAGAATCAGAAAAAAAAAGTAAAACCCAGAAGGTTGAGATAAACACATTTTAATACGGCGTAAAAGGAAGAGGAAATAATGATGATAAAAGAACAGACAAAACAAGTGATGCACAATCCAACTGCTCACCACTCAATGACCAAAGCCCAGCTAGTCCCCATCAGTGTGCCACCACCCCTGGGCCACCTCCTCCCAGTTTTACTGTTCAGAATGACATCATGGTATGGAATATCCTTTTGTCCAGTTTGGGTCAGCTGTCTTGGCTGCATTCCCTCCCAGCTCCTTGTGCACTCCCAGTCTATGGGCTAGCAAGGCAGTATGAAAAACTGAAAAGTCCTTGACTTAGAGCAAGCACTGTTCAGAAAAACTAAAACATGAGTGTGTTATCAACATTGTTCTCATCTTGAATGCAAAACACAGCATTGCACCAGCTCCTAGAAAAAAAATTAAGTTTATTCCAGCCAAAACTAGGAAATAGTCCAAACTGGCCAAAGGGGTATTTCATTCTACATAATGTCATTCTCAAAAAATACCCCAAAAAAAACAGCGGGGAAAGGGACAGAGGGAAGGTAAACGAGAAGGAGGAGATGGGTCCTTCTTACAACGTAGCACTGGCTCAGAGACTTCTTGGGCATCAGTCTGCTTCCAGGTGGTGAAGCAGGAGTGTTCCTTTGCAACACTTTCCTCCCTGCTTTCCTCCACTGGCTACACTGTCCTTATCTCCTTTCACAGGTTTTGTCACTTTTGTTCTTCTTAATGCTCACCTCTCCTGCTTGTAACAGGGGAGTGAGGGAGGGACTGTTCAAGAGCTTAGCTACCAGCTACACCACCGGCGAGAACAGAGGATGCAGACTAATTTTTAGATTTGCATTAGCTAACTAAATTGACACCAAATATCTCCATCTCTGTCAAACCTCTTCCACTTTGTGATGCCCACTGGAACACAAGGCTAAGAAGCTGTCACAGTAATACTCACCTCTGGTAAGAGGGAAGGGTCATTTTGAAGCAGAAGCTGGCAAAGTTCATCGTGGTTTAAATTCTCAAGTCCATATTGCTTTAGAACACGGAGATTGTGGTCTGAGTGGAAGTCGTGAACAAATCTGCATCCCTTCCTAGAACTCAAGAAACCCAACAGCAAAATGACTGGCATTATTTCGCTACAACACTGGGCATTACACTGAAAAAGCACACCAAATTAGCTAGTTTCAGAAAAGTCCACATTGCTCCTCTATAAAGCCATTATGTGATTTGCAAAGCAGATTACATAATTACTCTGAGGATAATTGCCACTGTACTTCTGATTCACAGTCATTATAGCCTTAATGCACTGACAACATCGGCATTTTTGACCTGCAGCTCACAACTACAAAACCACCAAAGCTCTAGAGCATCGCTCCCTCTCGCCCGATGAGCACATCGCCCAGGGTCCCGCAGCACAGGGACACGAAGGGACACTCAGCTTTAGCACATCGCCCAGGGTCCCGCAGCACAGGGACACTCAGCTTTCCCCTGGCACGGCCCTGCCCACAGGCAGGGAAGCGTCAGGGTGATGAGCCGGAGAGGAAGTGCTTCGACCCAAAGATGAAACCACCTCCTGTGTCTGCCGCCTTTGTAACAACACGCACACAAATAAAATAAAAGGACGCGGGCAATGAGCATTTCCAACGCGGAGAGGGCTGCAAGGTGTTTATTGAGAGCTCCTTCCCCTGAAGGGACACTCCGTGCCCAAGGCCGAGGCCCCGCGATGGCGGCCGCCCCCCCGCCCCTCACCTGGCCACCTGGTTGCGGCAGAAGCCCTTCAGGTGGTACTTGCAGAGGTGCAGCCGCCCGCACTGCCCCGGGCAGCCCGCGACGTGCTCCGGGCACAGCCGTAGAGGGCTGGTGGCCACCACCACGGCCACCTCGGCCTCCGCCGCCGCCGCCTGGCCGGGCCGCCGCACCAGCGTGAAGCGCTGCGCGTCCCGCAGCACGGCCGCCAGCTGCTCGGCCGAGGGCTGGCCCGGCAGCCTCCGCCGCAGCTCGCCCTGCTCCAGGCAGCCGCCGCTAGCACACAGCACCCGCAGCGCCTGGGTCGCCAGCGCCATGGCCGGGAAGCCCCGCCCGGGAAAGTGACGGAAACGGAAACGAAAGTGAAAGCGGCCGAGAAGGGAGCGGGGCGGGCTCGGCCCGGAGCCCGGGCTCTGCCCCCGCCGGGGCGTGGCGCGCTCTGCGGCACCGGCGGCGGAATGAGCAGCCACCCGCCCTGCCGGGGCACCGCCCGCCGCCTCCTCCTCTGCCTGGCCTTTGGGATGTCCTGACCGTTTTTGATCACGTGTCGCCAAAAAGGGATGGCACCTGGGAGGTCACACATTTCTTCTAGGAAAAAAATGGGCGCAGGGAGGAACGGAGCATCAGCCAGGAGCTTCACCACTTTAAGTTACAGGGAGAACACTGGTGCGTGAATTCTGCCGTCAAAACCATCTCAGCTAAAGTTTCTGTCTGTGCCTGTTTCTGATGATAAATCGTGAAGGCTGCTCTTACACTCCTTTCGATATCTAAGTTAAAAGCTCAGCCGTGGTCACACATCTGGACACACAACTGCTCTGCCTGCAGTGCTCATGGCACCACCCATTGCACGGTGGTACACCACTGCTTCTGCCTGCACTGCAGCCACAGCATCAGTGTGGCCAAACAATGTCCTCATCCTCTAGGAATTCACAAACTCTTCAGAACGGTGCCCATCTTTTAATTAAGTGCCTTTGTCTAGGTCATTTCGACACTCCTGGTTCTGCATCACAGTCACTCAGAAGCATGTTTTAAATGGTGGCAGAACAATGATGAAAAGTGCCATCATTTCAGTCGGACTAGGAGTGGAAGGCATGGGGACCCTCACTGATAGTGGTTCTCATTGAACAAAAGTCCAGCGTCCTTCCTTCTTTTGCCAGTCCTGTTCTCTTGTGCCTTTCCCCTTGTTTCATCTTACTTCCTGCTAGTGCTGTGAGATTGGCAAGGGGAGGACAAAAAATAGAATCTAGACAAGCACACTGAACGGCAAAACAGCTCTACTCGGTCACTTATCGGTTCACAGAGATCTATCTGTAGCTTGGCTTACACAGGCCATCAACAAATGTTTAGGGGACAACATGAGAGGCTGGAGTGTGACTGTCCTTCATCTCCTTTCCAGTGTCTGCTAATCAGCTTTTCTGAAACAAAGGAAAAGCCATTTTAGCCATTTTTTCTATGGAAATAATTCTATTGCTTGGACTGTCTTTGTCGTTCTTTCTTTCTTAGGACAGTCTTTGCTCGAGGGGCACACCTGCAGATGATCACATTTGTCACTGACAGTCACCTGGCACTTTAAAGAGAGAGATCACACAACGCTGGTAGTGATTGACAGTATCACAGAATAGCTGAGGTGGAAAGAGGGTGTAGGAGGTCATCTGGTCCAAACCCAAATCCAGGTGTTTCATCACTGAAAGAGAATATGAGTGGAAACCTCTTAATTTTGGTGTTTTGTCTAATGGTCTCAAATCACTGAATAGCTTCATACTGCCCCATCAGTAGGAGATGTCTTGACTGAACCAAAACTCAGGGAACCCTTTTGCATAAAAAACATTGAAGAAGCATTGTACTCAATAACTCTCATTCTCCCCAGCATCCATTTACTTTTTCTTTCCAGTGCCCAAAATTCATCCTATCAAAACAGCTCCCAACTTTTTAGACATTAATGACCTGTCCCAGCTCACTGTGCTGTCCAGGTAGCTGTTTCAACTGTGTCTCCCTTTCACACTTTCTTTCTTCATGTATCTAAAAAACCACATTTGTTTGGCAGAAATATCATATCTTTTTATGACAAAATTGGTATGAATGACTATGCCAATGTCAACATTATAAAGAGAGGAGTACCAAGAAAGAAAAGCAGTGTAAGATCAGGGTTGGAGGGCTGTTTACACCATTGCGATTCATTCCAAAGTGTTGGTGTATGTGTCACCGGGAAGTTCACATGGCTTTGCAGGAGCTCTTGGGTGGCTTTTTGAAGCTCTAGAGTAGAGCTATCATTCTGTCTCTCTTCATGAGAGCAAAAGTAAAAGTATGAAAACAAGCAATGGTTGATGCAGAGAGAAGGTTTGCAGAGCTGCCCTTGAATTGCAGCATTTCCCCATCCCTGAATTCATACCCAAAATAAATCATAGCATATTTTTTCTCACACAAGTCTCCTGTAGTTTGTTTTGTGGCATGTTCCTCAGGAAGAATAAAAGTACCCCTTTGATTTGATAGAACTTCCCCACCTATGAATTATATATAAGCAAAATTGTACTTTCTTCTTCTTCAGAAGAATTAACAGCTAAAAGAAAAGTCCATTTTCATTTGTAAAATTAGTGCCACTAGACATAAAGGGCACCTAAGGCAAGTGGCTCCTCTTCAACTCTCAAATACTGTAATTAAAGGTAAGGCTGTTTTCTTGAATGCCATTGTAGCATAATTGCATATGAGCTATTCTACATACAGATAATGACTGTGCATTTGTCCTGAAATAAGCTCCCTCTAAGCAGTTCCTACAGTTTCTGAACAGCTGCTGAACTCAGAGCACGTGGAGTTTTAGTAATTGTGGGACTTCAGGTATTGAAATATCAGTAAGCCACCTTTGTTAAAATCTGATGTATTGTGCTGTGAAAACTTTACTCTGGAAATTAGTAGATGTCAGTCATTAGACTAGTATCTTTATTTTTAGGAAGAGTTTATGGATAATTATGTTAATTTGAACTGTGGCATCATTCCTTAATCTTACTTGCGTCAATCTTCAAAATGAAATAATTTAATGATTTTCTTGTGAATTTTCATATGCTTCTTTAAAACAACCACTGCTGTTGTGGTGCAGGGTGCATTCACTTCCCACCCCATCCACGTGCTTCAGTCTTTCTCCCAGCTAGCACGGTGAAACTCCTACCTTTGTACTGTCTGTCATGGGAGATGATGTAAGGAAAATGGGTAGAAGACAGAAGTCTAATCTGCTCGCTTGCAAGTGGTTTTGGTTTCCTGTCAGACTACATTTAAACACACAATTGAGGGTTAATTGTTGTCCCAGTGATGGTCTGACAACGTGGTTAAACACAGCTAAACTTTCTAGTATTTTGTCTGGAACTGGTTGCTTTATGATGGCTTGTATTTGCTGTTTANAAACAGATCATAGCAGAAGCGCAGCTGTCAAGGAGCAGGCAAGTCAATAATGATGCTAGGTACTGAACACATATAATTTATATATGTTCCTTTTCTGGGTTAAGTATAGATGGCCATCCACCTTGGTCAAAGGTAGAATTTTGTCCCAAAGAGTTGGTATGTTGGGATTCCATGTTTAATTTGTTCTTTGGTCAGAATTGTTTTGATTGTTTTATCTGAGGACCATGCAGTCTTTGGGCTTGTACACTTGGAGTCAGTCCCATCTACCTAATATTTCTGTGTACTTCTCTAATTTCTTCACTTACAACTACTGTTTCTGAAAACTGTACTAATTGACAGCATATGGACTTTACAGCTACAATCCCAGGAATCTCCCAGTGACGTGCTAACCTAAAAATCAACCATCCAACAGGTAACACATGCATCCACAATTTGAAAGCAAGAAACAGGAAACTCAGTTCAATTGCAGTATGTGAGTAGTACCAGACTGTGGGGCTGTTGGCTGTCCCAGGGATCTTGCAAAGGGCAGGATAAATCCTCATTTTTTTTCTTATATATTTTTGCTCTCATATATTTTCTCATGCAAACGGTACAGTCTGGGCAGGATCTAGAATGAATTGTTTTATAAGAATAAACTAGTGTAATATAACATGCAAGAAATTGTATAGTGTATAGTTTGGTTCATTACATAAGAAAGTTTTAAGAGGGCTTGTTTGTGAAAATAAAAATAATTTGGGGCTGAAAATTCACAGTATAGTTAATGATGCTGTTATTTGTCACTGGCGCACTTCTAGTCTTATTCTGTTGAACATTTTGTTACTTGGTTCCAGTGCAAATGTCTGTTTATTGTGCAATCCTTAGGCTTTTGTTCTTTTTCATACCCTCGAAAAGGTAATTATTCACACACCCCATAATCTTGTACACTGGCTTCCTCCACCTTTCAGAAACCTCCAAAGAAGCTCTTTTAAAGCTACAGTGGTCCTCAGATGAGCAGTAAATTGACCAAAGTCAGAAGCCTATTGCTGCTCTCGCAGCAGTTCTTCCTGCATTTGCCACTGTATTATCCACTGTCTGCCTAACATACTGAATCTCAATGTGTCTGCTAATTCCTCCTTTTAGCATTCCACTTTCAGATGGGAGTGACCTCCCTGTTGACAGGTAGTGAACAGCAATTCTATTTTCTTTAATGTAGGAGTTACCACCAAACCACTTACCTTTGTATCACAGTGATTTGCTTGGCATGCATGCAGATCTAACAGCTATAAAGTCCTTTCAAAACTCAGCACTTTTTCAAAGTGTCTTGGGAGTAAAAAAAAAGTAAATTGTCAGGGACCAGGACAGTTACTGAATCCCATTTCATTCTGCACTGCAGTCAGCAACAATACAGAAGTTGCCTTCATCATGTGATGTTTCATCCTGTGTTGGACAAAATATGAAATTCCATTGGTAAGGACTCACCTCTATCAGCTCTATGAAGAGATATGTTCATGACATCAGGCAATAATTATGAATCAAAATGCTATGTCTGCACCTAGTAGCCAAAAAACCCCTTGCTATTTTATGGCTAGATGGTTGTTATTTTTATAAAGTCAAGCTGATGGGGAGCAGGAGACTGAAGGGATCAAATGGATCCTCAATTCTAGCCACTCATAATCACAAGCAGTTAAGTTTTTAGACATCTATTTCAGAAACATCCACAGTGTAATCCACAGACAGCCTGAGACTCAGGAAGCTCTTCAATGCTTTGTAACAAGTGTGAGACCTGGAGTCTGTGGGCATGCTAAGGAAAAAGCAGGATCTTTGTCACCATAGGAGAAGACAATAGGTCTCAAAAGGAGAGGGTATGTTTCTCAGATATTCTGCCCAAAGCCTTTGAAGATGGCAGTCAACTGCTTGTGGGAAAGCAAATATTTAAAAAAAAAAAAAAAAAACAAAAAAAACCCTTAAAACTCCTCTTGCAAGAAATCAGAAACTTCCAGCTTTATTTTCCAGCTGCTAGTCCCTGCTTTTCATTGAAACTTCCTTGATTTAGTGACAACTCTCCAAAGTTCTTTTGTGACTTTATCTTCTATGAGTTCATTTTCTTTTCTCTGTGTTCATCAGCTAAATTCATAAATGTTCCTGCACTGACACATCACCCAGGATGTGTCAGGGTCTTGCTTTAGAGATCAGTAGCAGCTACTTGTGGTGGCAGGGGATAAACGGGAGGAACAAAGGATAGCAACAAAAGCAAGCAACAATCAGGTGCTTTGAAAAGCTTCTTGCAACAGTGTACTAAGATGCGTGACTGATGTGTTCACATTGTCTTAAATATCTGCCTAAGACTCACAATTCAAGCAGAGGCTTGGTAAAGGGAGACCTCTCTTGCACATTATACTCAAGACCGTACAGTTTAACTGGACGTGTAGCCGTGAAATGGGAGTTTATTCAGAGATACTCATCATATAAAGGACATTCTGCAGAAAAGTGCTTCCAGTAGAACCAAAGACGGTATGATCTGTAACACACAGTGCACTGCTGATGTAGAAAAATGCATCGTTTCAGATAAGTCTGCTGCGTTTTTGGTCCTTTTTGTTGAATGATGACCCATGAGAGGGTTTGTTTTTATTTCCTGGGTACCCATTCCAGCTAGCAAGATAGTCTGGCTAATATGAATTATCTGTGGTTGATCTGTGCAAGGTAAATGTTCTACATGGACATAGAGGAAGCATGGCAGTCAGATGAATTGCTTTTAGCCCTCTTTTTAGCCCTCTTGCCACACAAGGGAAATCTACCTATGTAGTACCATATAAATTCTGTATAAAAATACATTCTGTGTATTTGTGGTGTAGCAATTGCATTTACACCTTTGAAAGAGTCTTAAATAAAAGCAATAAGTCTGCTGAAATGTAGCATGTAGAAATACTGCTTTTGTTTTGTTGTTTTGTAAGAATTGTGCTACTGTATGTTAGCAAGTTTCAAGCTGTATTAAAAAAAGAGGAACTGATTTGCAATAAGCATTTTATTGAGTCATATAAGTCTTCTAAAAGTAGATTTACACTTGTTTCCTAGTATTCTTATGGGAATTCCATACTTGCAACAGTGATTATTTTAATGAAAGCTGATTTTTTTTCAGGCTTATTTTCCTTTCATTTGGTGCCTTTCAGTTTCCAAGTTATTACTGGTCTATGTAATTTTCTCAAATAAATGTTTTTTTCATCAATCTTTCTACTGTGAGATAGCAAAAGAAGGAACTCTGACAGGCCACTTGTGGGATTTATTATCGCTGAGCCTAATATTTAACTGTAGGTAAATAGTACTGAGTAAGAGACAGTCTGATTACTCTGAAACGATACACAGAGGAAAATACATCTGTTTTTTCTGCTTTTAATTTTGCTTATTAAGAGAAAAAGACCTTATTTCTCTCTTTCCTCATAAGTATATAAATTGATTGCTTGATCTTGCACTACACATATCAAGATTTTTATGTCATGTTTGTGTTAGAAGGCACAGGGCTTTTGAAAATGAATGAAAACATGAAATATGGAGAGCAGATGTACCAACTCTCTGGCTTCTTAGCTACAGGCATCTTTCAAGCTCCAACTGCATCACATAACTAGCTGGAGTTTCTACAAAGCAAGCTCAGCCCAGACCAATTCACAAATGCAACACTAACAATGTATTTGTTGTGTCTGAACTCCAAACACTCCAAGAGATTCCACTTCCTTCAACTTTCTGGGTTATGCTGTATGTGCTTTTTGCCTCTAATTATTCTGAGATTTTGTTGTATTAATAATTTTTAGAGATGAATATTGAATATCTGAGAACTGAGGGAAAGAAATTTTTAGCTTGTTAGAATTTTTTAAATGTTATATATGAATATATCTATCAGAGTGAAAAGTCTTCAAAACATTAGGGAAAAAATATTGCTGCTTTTAAAACACCTCTGGTAAGGATTAGGAAGTCCTTTAGAGGTCCTTGGGGTTTTTTTGTTTTTTTGGGTTTTTTTAAGAAAGGTGAAACTATATTCTACAGTACAGAGTAGTAAAAAAACCCCAGCCCTCCTACCTGTGCACACAGTGACATCTCCTTTAAATAAATATTAAGATTGCAAATAAATAATCAAAAGTTAATTACAACATGGCGAAATTATGTTGACTGGTACAGCTTTAATTTGTCCTCACTGAGTACCATGTGTTGTGGCACTATTATGACACGATCACCAGCAGTTTCTGCTACAAGGTTCTTTCTTTCATTCAGTACATAAATGGGCAGTGCTCTCTTAGTGACTAATCAGCCAATTGGATTTCCATCCTGACTGCATCCCTAGGCCTTATCCTAGTCAGATAGTCCTTACATAGTCAGATACTGCTTTCAAGAGAGAATTGTTAACATCTTTATAGATTTTTTTAATACTTTCTCCATTACAACGTGTGAATGCTGCATAAGGACTTAGACATTTGTAAGTGCATTATGATGTGAAGACAATTTTTATCCCTGCTTTACAGGGATGATGGCACAATGAGATTAAATTGCAAAATACCCACTAATTTTGTGTATTTGATCTGTGATACCCAAGAACTCCTGTTTTGGAGAGTTCAGCATTTGTGGGCAGTTTGTGGGGTCAGGCCAGCACTCTGTGACTACACTTGCAGCTGGTCCTGCTCAGCATTTCTGCAAATCTGATGCTGGGGTCTCGAGTCAGAAGTCCCAAAAATGAGGAACATACAGTAAGTGACCACCTGTGAAAGTTTGCTCAAAGGGACTTGCCTCCCATCATTTGGGAACTCTGTGGTAGAGGCAGGCTCAGAACTCAAACCCACTTCTCCAGGGTAGCCTTCAGCTGCTTTGACTTTGAGAGCATCCTCTCCCTTCCTTCTTCACCAGACAGTTGATAACTTCTGCAGCAGATGCAGCAGGGTTTCTGCACGATAATCTCATTTACTGAGCAGCACCACTCACTATTAGAGCAAAATTTATTCCATACACATTAAAAAATAGAGGCCTTCAAAGGAAAATATTAAAATACACACTCATGGAGGAGGAAAGAGAGATGATTATGTTTTGATTTGATATTTTCTGCCTTTGGAGTACTCCCATATTCTCCTGGAAGAGGATCCCTCATGCCCCACTTTCAGATGCCTCAGTTAGCAAAAATAGCATTTGGGGAAACCCTGGCATAAAAAAATTCAGTCTTCCACCTGCATCTCCACCATCTGAATTAACTGCTCAGATGCTGGCAATGGCAGGTTGTTATCCTCTTACTTCACTGAGGAGTTTTACCAATATTTGCTACAGCATGGAAGCATTTCCCAATCCAGGTGAAATCTTGGTCTCTACTGTAGTCTTGGGAGATTGGGAGTGGGAAGAGGACACTGGTCCTTCCCTCTCCTTCCTGCCTCCTTCCCCTAGCTTTGAAAATTCACTCTTCCCTTTCCTCTGTTCTTCTTGTCCCCCTCAATCCAAGATATGTTGGTGCAATCCTACACTCTTCAACCAGGTCTCAAAAAATCGGTGCAGATTCTGATATGAATCTTAGCCTTCCTTTTATCAACACAAAGAGAAACGGAAAAGAGTGTGAAGCCATTGCTAAATGACAGTTTCATTTGAAATTAAAAACCACTCAGCTTTGGAAAACCCTCTTTCAAAAAAGGTTCCAGGCCAGGAAACTGTTTTACTGACATGCCTTCTACCTTACCATCAAGATGCAGGATTTCTTTAACATCAGTTTGTAAAAATCCCCAAATTCTAAGTACTTCTTCAGCCCTTTCCTGATAATATAGGAAGCATTTATTTGCTAGTCATAGCACTTTATGTCCACGTCACTGTTTGCCTTGTCAAAGCATAAAACCACATTATTTGGGACAGCTGTTTTTTAGTCACCTTCAGAGTTTAGTAGTGACAGGAATTCTATTTCTAAAGAATTTCCTTTACTGCTCTGCAGTTCCTTAAAAGCTACTTTAAAATCTAGAATTCTGGCAGAAATCTGACCTCATTCTACTCTTTCAAAGATAGAATATGCTAGATTTTTGTTTGGTTGGTTTTTTTTTTTTGTTATATGACAATTATAACACCTAGAATGACTGTAAATAGTTTTGTATTCTAACTACTTTTACTCAGGGGCATTTGACTATAAGGTCAGATATATTTTCACATTCCTAAGTGAACTTGGTCAGCTGGTTACCTATCACAACTATTTATTACCAACTTCTTCACAATTTTACAGCTTCCTTCATTTCAGACGACCTGTTTTCAAGTCTTCACTTTTTTTCCATCTCAGTCCTGTGTGGAAAATATCTGCCCAACTCTCTGGTGGAACTAAATGTAGATGCCTGTCCTTGAAAATGGAGATTCTGTCAGAGGTTCAAACCACTCTGTTTTTGGTGGTTGCATGCTTGAATCTTTTCTTAACTTTGTAGTACCAATCATGTAGTATGGTAGTAACTTCAATGGAGATGATGTCAAAATGCGATTCCATATTTTCCTTTAGGAGAAAAAATAGAAGGGTATTTGCTTTGCAATGGATCTATCTGGGAAAGGGCATCTAACCTTCCTGTAGGATGTGATAGAATTTGGTCCAGCCTGCCAGGGTACCCTATTTATAATTATTTAAGACAAAAGTACTTGCAGCAGGAATAGCTGTAGAAAAAGTCCTATAGAATATTTCGTGTTTTGGTCAAAAGCCCCAAACATTTTCTCTTTTCAGTTTTGAGGAGCTTAAATGACAATATACAGTTGTTTTTTCTAGATCTTGGTCTTCTGATGAAATCTCATGTTTTCTGTGAAAGATGGTGCAGAAACCTTAACATTTCCCATTCTTTTTATGTGGCAATTTATTTCTTTTATACTGTCTCATATAATTTCTGCCTATTTTTAAGTTATAAATGAAATAAATATACTTCATAGACCTGATGCTCTAATCCTATAGATTGTTGCATTTCATTTCAGGTGAAGGTCAGCTTGTACTCTTTTAGTGGAAACAGCATGTTGTATTCTTTTAATGCATAATGTCAGTATTTTCATTAATAGTGACTTGTTATTTCTATCCTCAATGAACTTGGGGATCTCAAGCTGACCTGTTGATTTATGTCAACCACTTTTTCTTATGGGGGTATTCCTCCATTGCTGTAATTTCCAGAGGATTTAAAGATAATTTAGGGCCTGCTTAACGATGAAAGTTGATTTTTCTTCCTGTTCAACAACTATAGATACAGTGCTTCAGTAGATACTTATGTGGTCTGTCTGCCTGAATCTGCGGTGTACCTTGTCCTAAAAATGTTAGAACTCTGTAGCCGTGGAATGGGGTTTTAACCCTTTAAGTGCAGCGGAAATAAGATGCACAGCTACATGGTCATCTTTCATGACAGGAAGAAAGAGACAAGTTTATTCAGAAACACACTTGGTTTTATAGCATGACTCGCAATTCCAAGAGTAGAGAAAAGGTGATTGGTTCAGAGAGAAGACACCCCTCCCAGGGCCTGGTCACACACCACAACAGGTGTTCCATCTTTGTTATTAATTCCTTTTTATTTTGACCAAATTATCACCCTGGGAGAAATTCTCCCTAGCTTTGAGCTGGGCCAGCTTATTGGCTGGGAACAGAGCTGAAAAGCTCCAGCCTGGAATATTTTTCAGGCTGTAATTTTCTTACTTTCTCAATATGTGTCTCACAGAACTCTGTTATATTTATTCTGTTTACTTCTATCTGTCTGCTACAGTCTTTAATTCTAAATGGTTGGAGATGCTGCAGCAGTTAATATATATTTCTCTTTCCAGCTTTTCCAGAAACAGACACAATTGCTTCCTTCCATTCTTTGTAGCTGAAAAGGCTCTGTCACCTAGACTTAACATTTTTCAACTCTCAGCTTTATGGTTTAGAGGGAATGGAATTGAAATGGAATGTTGAATTAATCCTGTCTGATCTAAGTGCCCCTCGAATCTGAAAGCATGTTTCTTCCACAAATAGCTCAGTTACTAGGAAAATTGTTAGTTTCTATTTGGCTTCCCCAGTTCCACCCTTAAGGGTTATTTAAATACTGTTCTTCTTTCTACCTGCTCTCTTTTTCAGGGAAAGACTTTCAGTTTTATCCTTTATCAGGGTCACCTCCTAATCATCAAGTCATTAAATGGTTTGAGTTGGAAAGATCTAGAGTAGAACTCTTCCCATTATTCATTGCTATTTTTATGAAATGCTGTCATATTATTCCCATCTTGCTCTGATAGTTTTCTGCTGAAGTATTACTGTGTTTTATTTATCCCAATATTTGACAGTACTCATTATACCTGTAAATTAACAAAAATTATTTGTTCATATTTCACTTCAGAGTCTTCTTTTAGTTAGGGCTGGTTCTTGTTTTTTTTTCCCTATGCACTTTTTGTTATTAGTTCCTTGTGCTTCTGTTGTGGTTTCTGGTTTTCTATCTCAACGGGGTTTCCCATCAGAAATTCACTTCCTTTGGTTAGATGAAGTCAAAGAAGAAGCTCCCTGAGAAGCCTTGCTGACATGAGCATTTGGACCAATATCAGGGTCTAGTTGCAAGATGGGGGCTTTAGATGTGGGTTTTCCATTGAAAAGATGAGCTGCCGACCCATGCAACTTCAGCTTCCATGCTGCTCTTCTCTTTTTAAGCCCCAGAAGAGGTAATTCCATGCTTAGACATAACCTCTGCAATAATTTATCTGAATATCTAATTTTATGACTGTAATTATTCAATGGTTCTTAGTGAAATCTCTTGCAGATCTGATGTCAGACAAATAAATAAATCTTAAGGTTGGATCATAACTTGCAATCCCCGCTGAGACGGACTTCAGTGGGATATGCAAATGTTTCATATTTAGTGGTCAGGAAATGAGTCTGATGGAGATAATCTCTCATTTCACACTTAAAATTTGATTTGTAAAACATTCTCATTATCTTTTACTTAAGGTAAAAAGCTTCACACATGAGATGTACTTGGAGATAATGGCTGGGCAAAAAAAAATGGGGCCCAGTAAACAGCTATAAAGAGCTCTTATGAGAATTAAAATGCCAAAATGACATTCTTTTGGTAACCAACTGCAATGCTTTATAAGGGAGACAAAGAAATTAAAACAAATCAGGAATTCAGGAGAGCACGTGCAACATTAAGTTTCCCCTTACTGTAGTGAAAATAATAGTGGTGTCAACCTCTGTTTGCAGGAATCATCTGGTCCTTTGGCTTTGGTGGCTCTATACCAATTTCCACCAGCTAAGGAAACAATACTATAACTCCACCAATTACAATAAAAGTCTATATTTTGCATTGCAGAGAGTTTGCCATTTTTAAAATTATTTGTAAGGCAAGTAAAGAATTTGAAATTATGATATATCCTCATATTTTGGTATTTGAAATAATAAAAAATTGTGTGTTTTAATGTATAGATTAAACTTTTCCAACACAATTTTAAAGTCAGTTTCATAATCTGATTTGCTAATATGATATGATGCCATAATTGTTTTTTTGTTTGTTTGTTTTTATGTTTCCCTTTCAGTTTGTTTGGGATATTTTTGTATATATTCTATACTAAATTATCTGACTAAAATCATGGTAAATGACAGTACTGAGGCTAGTAAGTAGCTGCATTTATTTCCTTTTTTTGTTTGTCTGGAGGTTTGATTTTGGTTGTTCTGTTGTTTTGGTTTTTTTTTAAGGAGCGTTTTCTTCGTATTCCAGGGCAGAGAATGTGAATTCAGGGATTTTCTGAGCCCACTAATTTGAAGTTCAGATTGCAGACTCATTTGCTGTGAGATATTGATGACCAGATTATCATTGCACACTGCATGTGAAAGAAGAGGCCTCTCCATGTGTTGATCCCTGTTCTTCTGGCATAGAGCAAAGGCTTCATCCTTGCTGTAAAAAACTTTCCAGTTTCTTTTGAGCCTTGAATGGAGCATAATGGCAGAGACTTTAAAGTTCTCTAGTCAGCATAGGTAGACTCAGGGGGTGATCTCAGGCATGTGATGCCTCAACTTTTTTATTTTCAGGGAGACAATATCTGTGGTGGTGCAATTATTGTGAATCCACACCCCTGAGAATTCAAGGCAAAGGTTATTACAGAGCTGCTTGGCCAGAAGAGTAGTAGCAAAGGCATCTGACAGGGGCCAGAACAAGTATGGAAACAGAAAATCTCTGTGGCTGTCACATTCAGGATATTTTTATCAAGTGCCCTCTATTTTGAGGGGTCTATTTGGGCAGTTACAAATGATGTTCAAAAAACTTCAAGAAATCTACAAATGCTGGGTGAGAAAACTTGCCATTTCAAGTTTTAAATTCCTTTAGGGAGGGCAAGACTGGTTTTTATTCTATATTTGAACAATGCCTCATGCAAGAGTCTTTATCCTTTTTCAAACTCTCTGACAAGTGCAGTAATACACTGGTTCTGGGTTTTATTCAGATGTGAAAATGCTTCTACTGTACCATCACTGTGAGGCATCTTTTATGCCAAGCAGAGATGGGAGAAAGTTCTGAAACTTAACCAATAATTCTGTTCTTTGAAGTTTATTTTTAAAACATGGAGGAAGGAGAAGAGCTTGATGTTGTGGTTTCTAACGGATACTCAAATTTTGTTATCAGACACATCAATTGTTTGAGACATTAAGACGTGAAGAATAAGTTCTCTTTCTCAGATTTTCATCTGGAATCCATCCTCCCATGCAAGGCAAAAATCAAAGGAGCTTTTCTTCTCTAATAGTACGTTGTAGTAGAGGTCATTCATTGTGCTGCCAGTCTTGGCTGCACTGTGATGTGTTAAGGAGTGAGCAGTGAACGTCAGCTGACATTCAGTCCTCAGCTGCACCTTCCTCTGCCTCTTCTGAACGCTTACAGGGGGGCAGGCTGGGCTCTTGCTCTAAGATTGTGTTGGGCCAAAGACTCAGTGCACAAATGGGCTGCAGAGTTTAAGACTCCCCTGCAAGAGAACATTTGCTCTTATTCTTATGCTGTGTATGGCACTCTCCCATTTCCTCCGAAAACAAACCTTTTGCTGACCTGCCTTCTGGTGTAGCCTCTCCTATGAAACAAGAACTTTCTGATAGAGCAGTTTGGTTTAGGAAGATGGATCATTTTAGTGGTGGTAAAACCATTAGCTTTCAACACTTGACCTTCACCCTCTTTTACTGTGCCCAGCCAGCAGCCATACACCCTCACCACTGCTTGTGCACTTTGGGAATTTAACTTAACTTATTGCTATAATATATTTAGTTGCTGATTTGGGTATTGGAAAGCAAAGAAGATAAACATTAAAACATTTTTCCTTCCCCTTTCCCAGGCTCAACTGCACTCCAGACACATCTCCTCCCTTCTTGTTATCTCCACAGGTTATACTCAGTTCCTTTGGTGAGGCAATGAGTGGTACAGGGGTTTGGGGTCAAGACATCGTGGTTTCTCTCTGTTGCTCCTTATTTCTCACCATTTTCTTCCACTGCTGCTTCCTTCTACTAATTTCCTCTACTCCACTATGGTCACTCTGTGGGCCACAATCTCTTTGCTATTGTGGCTGCTCAATTACACAGCACCTCCAAGTCCTCTGACCTTGCTGTTCCCTCATTCCCTTGTTTCTCTCCTTGTGACATTCCCTCCTTGTCCCCTCTGGTTGCCACTTTATTTTCTTTTATATGCCCAAGTCAGACCAGAGAAGTGGTGCTAAATAGACGCTGAAGTAAAAAAAAAAAAAACAAAAAACCCCCATTCATATATTAATGTATTTCACTCAAAAGAAAAAATATCCTGAAACTTTTTGGTGCAAATTTTGAAAAGGCAGCTTGCATCTGAAACCAGCAGAAATGGCTGATGGCTTCAAATTGCCTTCATTGAGTTTTTGTAACCAGGTGAGTTCTTGACTAGGTTCTTGGTTGAGAGAATATACATAAATAATGTAAGAAGTAATTACTATTTTATAGCAGTTTTATGGCAAATGCTGAGGAAATTCTGCAAAATGTGCCTCTTAAAGACTTGGATGGAAAGAGCTGTGGCACAGAATTGATTTTGTGATCAATAAGAAGCTCTGATCTTAAAACCACAGAGTTCTGCTCCTGTAGGATGCAACATCATGTCTTGGAGCTGCTCAGAAAATGTTTGGCAAATCGTGAACTACAACTTGTCTGAAACTGTACTAAATGCTCTAGTCAATGCTTTTGTAGCTTGGGCTACAAACATGAGCTTTGAAGCAAAACTCTGAAATTCTTTCAAAACTCTTCTTTTGAGATCTGCTTTGGTCCACTTGTTACACTGAGCTAGGAGGATAAAAGCTCAGATTCCACAGCAGTTTATATGGGACGGATAAGGGATGTGGGATTTTGCCCTAGATTTACCCTACCATGATACCAGTAACAGATTTGTTAGAAGATGCCACAGACAAAAGGAATATCTCCCAATGCTTAACATTCACATGTATTGGACAATAGTTAATGCATTTAGTTTTATTTATATCAGTATAAATCACTCCCTTTTGTGCAGAATGAAGGAACATGCTAGCAGTTTACTATACCTATACTCTCAAAAAAATCCCTAGGCAAAACACTTCCCTAAAATCAGCTATTTAATGCAGCCCCTTTGCCAGCCCTTTGCTGTGGGAACTCAGTCTTTCTTTCATTTCTGAAACCAGACAGATTCTTGTCTTGTGTGTGGAACCGAATTTCTAGGTAAGTGTCCAGGTTTTTTTTTTTTAAGCTTACTTAAGGTGTGCCTTTTTATGGTATGAATTCACTGGTGTAAGTGGCATGACAATTCAATAGTACCTTGCCTATACTTGTGCGTTTTAGACTTTGCAAAGCATTGAGGTGACTGTAGATGTTCTGTCAAGGTATCAGTTTGGTGTCTGAGTTAGGAAAAATCACTTTAAGGAAAGTGAATTACTTAAAATTATGGGGAAAATATGTGGGGATCTTTACAAAGTAGATTCCTGTCTTTAATTTCTATATCCCTACGCCCTGGGAATCTGTAGCCACTATTGCAGATAAAGGATTGACATTGCCCATTCTGGTGTTAGAACAGATTTTGATCAGATCATTCAAACATTCATTGCACTGTACACAGAGAGAAATATCCCACTGATTTCAGAGGTCAGTTTAATGAGTCGCTAGGATTCCACCATATATGCCTGGTTGTCAAGATTTAAAAACAAATCTAAAAATTTTGACAATACTCTACGATATACTTATCTGAGGCAGAATTCCCAGCTTAGAACACTCTCAGTTAATATTGGATAAAATTCTTCCTCAGTAATATTTATGTATCCTATCTCTCCTTTGTATTTTGAAACCACACACAATAATCAAGTATTTAATGAGTAAAATACTGATATATTGATTATTACATTTACAGTTTTGAAATATTAATGTAAATTACAATGGGCAAAAAAAATCTGCAAGGCAACAAAACCTGATTATGCTTTTCTTTAAGAAAGATGAATTAAAAAGGAGGTACTAAGTATATGTTTCTGAGTAATATTATTAATGTTAAACTGGCTAAAAATGTGTCTATTTCCACTGCTTATTAAACAATCAAATTTGCCTCTGGACCTCACAATTAGTCTGAGTGTTTATGTATGTTTGTATACAGTCATATGCCAATCTATATTAGAAAAAACTCTAAGCTTGTTTCAACTGGCTGTGAACCAAAGGGACTTAAACACTTGCATTTAATGTTAGTCAGTATTTTCAGGGAAATTAGAAGTTATGTTGGCTAAGATTTGATGTCAACAATGGCACATTTTTATTCCATAATGTCTTTAAAAATGTATTTGCAATGGTGTGATAATAATCTAAAAATTGTAGTATTAATGACCCTGTAAACTTATTAATTAAAATAATTCGATTTTTAAAAAATGAAATGTCACAAATATTTAATTTAATTTAAATATCATCTTCTAATAAGAAATCCCTTTTATCTGTGTTATTAAAAATATTTTACTTTGTAAGTGGAAACAATACGGAGTTGTTTAATTTAGTTATTTTAATTTATGCTCAGAGAAATAGTATTTATTTTGAAATATACAATTTAAAAAATATTGGTTCTTTTAAACAGGATTCAAGTCTTGATATCTAAATAATGGTAAGTCTACCACACAAATATTCTCTTTCATTATTGAGTGTTTCAAATATGCTGCAGAAGACTCATTCAAACTCAAATTTGAGGTATCTTTAGCTTTTTACAACAAGCTGTTTTAAAATTATAACAAGCAGTTTTCTGAAAGTACACATTTGGTTTCCTGTAGTGGATTAGTGTAATATTTTTTTCTCCATAACTGCTTCAGAGATTATGTGTAATTACTTTTGTCATGTCAACGTTATTGAATGATAATTCTGCCTTCATAAAGAATGTTACACAAGTAATAAAAACATCTCTATATTGCAGACTATAAAACTCTCCACCAGCAGTAACACCCTGAACAGTAACATCATAAAAGAAGTTATATAAACTTCTTTTGCAAATTAAGGAAATGAACCTTGAAACATTTGGCAGAGTGAGTTGAGTAATGTTGCCCATGTGAATTGTCTCACTGACCTCAAAGGAGTGAGAACTTTCTCATAAAAATAAAAGATAATGGTGGTACCTCGGTGCCTGCCAAAAATCTATTCCAGGAAAATATGTATTCTATACCATCTCTGTATTCCTTTACTATGGGCTGATAGACAATATGGGAAGAACCAGCCTGCTCTTTTCTGGGTCCTGACAGCAAAATGTTCTCACAGAGCTTTCCTGACCATGATGTGCTGGGCCAGGCTTTTGAAGATGCTCTAGAAGTGCTGCAGCAGCACTCTGACAGAGAAATGCAGTGTCCACCAGGTAACAAACATCCTTATTCTACTTCATTTCCCAGCTCTATTTTTAGAGGAAAGCATCTCTTGAAACATACAGGTGGGAGAATAATTTCCCAGAAGTGGATTAATGGGATGTTTTGGGAGGATGAAAAGGAGTAAAATTATTTCAAGGGTTTCCACCCCTTCATGAGTAGTGGCCAGTGTGGTGAGTATATTCCAGGTCACAGCACAGGGAAACTGTTGGACTGAGCCTATTTACCCTCTCCCCAGAACCAGCCCAGGCTCACTGAACTCGCTTTTCCTATAATCAGAGGATATATGACTGTTGTGAAACAGCCTTTTTCCAATTTTAATAGTTTAACTTCAAAATGCCCTTCTGCTATGCCATGAATCCCAATGCAAAAAACCAAACCAAACCAAACCAAACCAAAACAAAACAAAAAACAAACAAACAACAAAAAACCCCCCAGCAAGTGAAATTAATTTCCTAATTTAATTTTTTGTGCACTAACATATGAATCGTAAATATTTTTTATGGAGGATTGATCATTTGAGTCTGGATAATTAATAGAAACTTGTTTTTCTTGGCTTCAAAAGTTGTGTACCTTAAAAAAATAAAATGCAAGAAAGCTGTAAATTTTTCCACTTCTGGCAAGGTTTTGGTAATTAAATTACTATAAAATTTAAAATTTGTGTCTGGTGTTTTTACACTGTAAGCAGAAATGCAAGGGAAGGAAAATAGGAGGCTACATTACAAACCCTCTAAGCCCAGAACAAAATACCTGCTGTCTTTTGTGTGAACTGCCTTTCATATGAGGAAATTTACTTACATATTATCTATTATAAAAGGAAAAGTAAATCAGACCAGTAGGGCTCTATCTTCAGCTGCTGTTAACACATTTTTGGCTACACTGCACTGGTAATTTACACATGCTGGAGGATTCACTATATATAATTACTTGCAATCTTGTTCCTTACCTATGTTGTCAGGGCTCATGGAGTTATTAAACCCTTGCAATGCAGGGTTTAGTCTGTCCCCAGCTGCAGCCACATTTCCACTTGCAATAGATGTACCCATACACCCCAACATCTTCTTCTGATCACCTGCAGTGGGTAATTTTTTCAAATGTCTTTAGTCTGGTGTTCTCCTCTGCTTCTTTTAAGCATCACGAGTTCTTGGGTTCCTTCTGTGTCATTCTTTCAGGCACTGCAGATATTCTGATGCTCCTTTACTTCATTCACCATTGGAGACTCTGACTTGCATTGTACTGATGGCCTGCAGAACTGCCTGACAGTCCCTTTTTCTTTCTGGGTGTTTTATCAGAGTCTACATTTATCCAGTTCACTATGTCTGGTGGTCCATATGGCCCTCTGTTATCCAGTAATCAGACAATTTCATGATACTATGAAATATCTGACATTTTATCTTTAAAAAATTGTTTTTCCTTGTGAGGACTGACAAAACCATCCCAAGGGTGTCATCAGAAGCAGCAGTACAGATTTTGCTGGATAACCTGCTGATGTGGAACATCTTGGCTCTGGACACTTTATTATCTAGAAAGCAGCTGCAGGATAAGTCTTTTTGATAGACCCAGCACCATGTCAAATTATTTGCTCTTGTGGGTTTTTTTTTTTCCTTCTTCTCTCTTTTTTTACTCACTTGTTCTTTTTTTCTCCCTCCTCCTAATTGCCAGGTTATAAAAACTGCCTGTCTGTGATCAACCATCACCACCACCTCCGAGCAAGTCCCAGTTACTGTGCAGCACCATCTGTAGAGGAGCAAGGGTATAGCTGGAGAAACGTGATTGTAAGTGAACTAATTTCTAGTAATAGTCAGACATAACTGGAAAACTGACTGCTCATTTGGGATTTCTGATACAAATCATTATGCTCACAGTAACAGAAAGTTGGTCTGGCCATGCATGATTCAGATGAAACTTCCTTGGGAAATATTTGCAAAATGTGATTAATAATATCTTTTTAGGAGTCAGCATTTTGTTTCTGATGCTCTTTTGTGGTTCATCACATAGCATGACAACTAACAAGCAAACCTACTAGGGAACTGGTTATAGGAAAAAAAGCTTCTTTGTATTACCTGGGAACAAGCAGAGAACAGCTGCTTCCAACCCTGATGTAGCTTCTGCCACTGTGAAAAAGAACCATGACTTTGATTCCTCCAACAGCAGTTTGCATATGCATTCTTTAAAGCACTATGAGTGTGGTCTCCAGGGGTGATGGAAAATGAATATTGCAGGGGAGATAATTTCAGGGAAACAGATTCCACGGAAGCCCATTTTCAACCAGCAGATTAACAACAGCACAGCATGGCAACTACAGAGTCCGTAGGGGCTAATGTCCAGGTGGCCCTTGCCTTTTCCTGACTCTGAAAGCTGCTCCTGCTCTGGTCCCAGCAGAAGGGCTGAAGGTCCAGAGTGAGGCAGTTACACCGTTTTGCCTCTCAGCATCTCCTCTGGTGGCAACTCTTGCCCCTGGACATGAATTAGTGCTGCTTGTTACTGGTACACCACACTGAGTGCCTTTGTGGTTGAGAAAAGTCTTGCAAGGATGAGGTGATGAAAAGTTGCATTTTTAAGGCTTCAGGCAATTAATTACCACAACTTTCTTTTTTTTTTTTTATTCAGAGAATGTACTCTATTAGTAACCTTTTATTTTCTTAATTCTTGAAGAACAGTGCAGCAGATTTTTATGCAGATGAGACTGTCTACCATACACTGCAGAATGCTCCAGAGAGTCAAGTGATGCACGCTGCTGCTGGCCAGCCAAAATCAGGGAAAGGTCTGTAAAAAGATCATATCTTAATGTGTAATTTATGTCACTTTAAAAAAACCTCTTGGCAAATCATTCTTTCTCCTTTTCCTAGTTTCTTTAACTTTCAACAGGAAGAAAAAGTGAACATTTACTAGTGACTAGGATATTCTGCTAGTGTTCAATTTCCATCTGTTAGATCTTATAAGATGTGATAAATCTATTCTTAAATTATTCTATCCTTGTTTAGTACATGGAAAACCAAACCACAGATACGTTTCACTTCAAATAATTTAGTGTGAAGTCTGATGCAGTGAAGTAACTTTAGCTATCAATAACATCTTTATCCACTTACACAACTTATTTTATTTCATGTGGCCCAAGAAGCAGTGATTTTCTTGAAGTTTTTTTACATACATGAATATTTTTGCACATCCGATTTTATGTCTTAGTTTAATTTTCAAGTCACCTTTCAGCTTTTGTCACTTCCAGTGTGCATTTTTATGGCTATTTTTCTGCTTCTTCTGGTTGGCTTTACTTGAGTTGGTATCTATTTTGCAAAGAATAGATTGTATGTCATTGCAGCACTTCATTTTTTTATTGCATTCATTATTTGGGTTTTTGGCAGCGAGGGAATCAGCATCCTTTCTCTGAGTGCTGGATGAGATTTTCACAGCTTCAACTCTGAGCTGTTGTGCCTACTTTTGACCATGAGGCCTTTTTAAGTAGCTTCCTGATTTAGCTGCTTTTTTGAAATCCCCTTTTCTCAGCTCTCTGCCCATTGATGCTGAGCACTGTGGTTTCTGTTGCTTAGTAGCCGCTACTACTACTACTACTACTACTACTGCTGCTGCTGCTGCTGCTGCTGCTGCTGCTGCTGCTGCTGCTGCTACTACTGCTGCTACTATTACTACTACTACTACTACTGCTACTACTACTGCAACTACTACTGCTGCTGTTGCTGCTGCTGCTACTATTACTACTACTACTACTACTGCTACTACTACTATTGCTACCATAGACTCCTTGGGATGGTAGGAAGAGTAGTTTCTCAGTTTTCTACTTCAGATATCTGAAATTCACCATTGCAAATGAAAACTTTTCAAATCCAGACATGTTGCTTTTCCAGGTCTTATCCAGTGTTGCACTGGGGAATTTTACATGTCAGTATCTGATTTGACCCTCAGTTATTACTGCTCTGTTAAACTTAATTTCCTGTTTCCTATTTCTTTTACACTGCCACCAACCCTTTTGTTTCCAGAAGACAGCCTGCCCATATTTGCAGAATGACTGACTATTCTTATGGGATTATTTTGTGTCTTCTTACAGTTTTGTTTGTGTCCATGGTGATATTCCTGCCATAGACGATGATTTGGGGAACTATACTAAATGAATTTAGTCCTCCTAGTTTCTTGTTGAGACATAAGAGGTTTTCTTTACACTAGCAAGTAGTGTGGCTTTTTAGGAATAGATCTGTAGATGAAACCATCAGCACTGACGGCCTATATCCTGTGTTCAAAGTGTTTCACAAAATTTTATTTAGGACAATCTTTGGGCTGGTCACAAATTCTGAAGGGTACACTGACTTAGGTATGCATATTTTGAGACAAGTTTCCTCTGAAAAGAGTCCAATTCATTCATGACAAAACCATTCCATGATCTGAAGTGATGCTCAGTGGAGTGGAGGCAGTCAAGAGAGGTACTTCAGAATTGAATTAGATGCATTTTCCCTGAGACAATTAGGCAGTTTCAGGACAATTTAGCACTGAAATCTAATGCAGATGCTCTGAAACACCTTCTGGAGGGACCTGCTTGTCTCCAATCACCACACAAGAAACCTGCAGGCCCTCACCTGCTGGTTTAGACTGATATTTAGGGCCTGAAAATGAACATCACTGGCTTATGCAATGAGATCCAGTACAAAGATCTTTTAATTGACCCTATCTCAAACTAGTGTGTAGCACTTCGGGGATAACAGCTGGGCTCTGGAAACACAGCTGCACAAACACATAAGAGCAAATAAGCCCTCTCCAACAAAGACACCAGCTAAAGGTCATGTGTCTAGAAATAAAAAGTTGGGCAGAAATGATGGCTGAACTAAGACGCCAAATAGCACTAAATCAGGTGCTGCTGCAGACATGGCTACACTATCCATCTCCAGCAGAAATTTAGTCCACAGTAGTCCGTGGATTTTCCCCTGGTCTTATTTGTCCTACCATTGGTTCATAGGATAATTCAGGTCAGAGGGGAACCTAAGGAGGTCACCTACTAAGAAGTGTTCACTGTGACAAGGCAATGTCCTTCATGGGTTTGCTTTCAAGCTTCTTAGTAATCTATATGTATTTCTACTAGAATGTGTACTTCCAGTCACAGGCCCATTTTTATTTAGATAATGAAACTTTATTAATTTTTTGGAAAGTACCTCAGATTTCAGGCTCTTCTTCTTCCTAGTCCGACTGTTACTTCTCTCCTCTTTCCTTATCACCAGATACAGAGTTACTGTCATCCCTGACAGATGTCTTGGCTTGACCTCAGTGTTCTTTAGCAACAGCCACTTTTCCCCCGTTCCTAGTTTAAAATAGCCACACGACACAAGACTTTATGAACTTTAGGTGCAGCTGCTTATTTCCACTTTGGTTAAAGTGGAAGATGTTCTTCTGCATAGATTCTCTCTTCTGCAAAATGTTCCCCTTTGTCTGATAATCTTAAATTCTTCCTCCTTACAGCAGCTTCTTGATCACCCTTGGCTTTGGGAAGGGAACTAGAAATACTTCATAGAGGAGAATCCACAAAATCTAAGTGAAACTTAGATTTTTAAGCCTCATTAGGAAACTGAAGTTTGAGAACTGAACCTGTGGAGAGAAGCACTTAGTTAACTGGCAAATATTTCAGTACCAAGCTTGCTTTATTCTGCATAGGAATGCAAACTAGCATTTCTGCAGATTTTTACAACATCACAGGGTACCAGAAGATCTAGCTCCTTCTTGACTATATGAGGTTTCTGGTTAAAACTAACCAGCTTTTCCTGCTCAGCCACTTACGCTTTCTTATAACAGAGACTACCTTGCATCCCCAAAACATTCCTGAAACAAACCCTAAAAAACTGAGCCATCTCAAAATCTCTGAGTTTTGAAAAAACTGGGAAAACATTTATTCAAAAACATTCAGATTGGCTCTCCAGAACCTCTTTCCCGCCCTGAGGATGTAATTTCCTACTGTGAATTCTTTGAGTTTGTATCTGCATAGCACGTGTCTGAAGATAGATGCTTCTGAGATCTACCATACAGTGAAGTCACCACATATTTGCCATGATCCCCACATAACCTGCTCTTGCAAGTCTAATGACCCCTTCTGTCACTGCAGATGTGTACACCCTTCAGAACTAGAGTGTGGTGCTGATAATGTCAAGGTTGTGGATTTAAACCCTGTATGATCCATTCATTTAAGAGTTGGACTGGATGATCCTTCTGGGTGCCTTCCCACTCAGACTATCCCACGATTCTGTGTTGCTCACATCTCTGGGATCCCATTTGCTATTGCTGGTCTTCCACTGAACACTTTATACTGATCTTTTAATTTGGGACAGTGTACTAGGTCTAGCTATGCTTTTGCCTATAAGACCCTTCCCAGGAAAAAGACAGCTCCTCATCTTTTAAAACAAGCATGAGTTCTGCTCTGACCTTTTGTGATCTATTTCTTTATAGGTAGAAAAAAGCTTCGGCTATTTGAATACCTCCATGAGTCTCTGTATGATCCAGCTATGGCAAACTGCATCCAATGGGTGGATAAACCAAATGGTGTCTTCCAGTTTGTCTCCAAAAACAAGGAGAAACTTGCAGAACTGTGGGGAGAAAGAAAGGGAAACCGCAAGATCATGACTTATCAGAAAATGGCCAGAGCACTGAGGAATTATGGAAGAACAGGTGAAATCATTAAGATCCGTAGGAAGCTCACATACCAGTTCAGTGCTGTTGTTTTAAAGAGACTTGCTCCATCTTATTTCTTGGGAAAAGAAACAATTTACCATCCCTACATTCAGTCTAATCAAGAATATCAGGGTGCAGATGACTGGACCAGTTACAATAATTACATGTACAACAATGGTTATGCATTACAGCATGCTAACAGCTAGGCTTACCTGTCACATGAACAGGCCTTTGTTATCCAGCAATACTTTCCAGCACAGAAACTCTTCTTTCTACATAGCTTTGCCTTTAAGATATCATGCAAACACATGAAGAGGAAGGTTTAAAAAATTATATTGGCCTAGTTTTATTCCTTTCAAAATTAGTGATAAATAGTCATTGCCTATTGAAGTAATTCAGCAGCTACAGAAGACATTCTATTCTCCATGATGCTAATCAAAGGAATTACTGTAGTTTCAAGCTGGTATATTCAAGAATAGGACTAAGGCTTTTTTGTCTGTTAGTGGACATCAAAGATTCCATTGTGACAACACTCACTGGAAGTTTTATGCATATCTCTAATCAGAATTTAGGCGATGTTGTACCATGTTTGCTGCATCCCTAAATTAGAAAGGGAAGAGATTTGCCAATGGCATGAAGCTGCTTTCTGCTTTTTTTACCAATGTTCTTTATAAAAGGAATTTTCTGAGTGAATGCCTGGCTGAATGATAGAGTTCATATGAGGGTGCACCTGTTTACCAAGTTGTTAATCCTTAATCACTTAAATTAACAAATCTTAGCACAGATCCTGACATGTGGTATTGGGATTGCCAGGTGCTCATTTTGCTGTTGGCAGTGGATTCATTGGACCATGAGAGAGTTAGTAAAGGGTTGTGCTTTTGACTAATTTTTCATTGAGTTTTGTACAGTTCTTCCCCACTAATATGAGGAGCTCCTCTTCTATCCATCAGTTCTGTACTGATCTAAAAAAACATAGCTTTGACATTTATTTTAGGAATTAAAACTTTATAAATAAATTTTCACTTCTCCAATTCTTTTTCTAAATGGGAATGTAGCTGAAAGTCTCAGTAATTTTACACTCTCTTGCTGGAGAACTGAATTTTGGCAAAAAGAGAGTAGTGGCCCTTATGACAGGATAATACCTATAAATCTACTTTTTCTCATACTTCTGTTACCTGATCAACTTGTATCTTCATATGAGTTGTCTTTTGTGCTGAAATATTTCCATTCAATTGTATTCAGTTCCAAGTTCTGCATTTTGCACTGTGTAGGCCTCGATATTAATAAAGACAAAAATAATTTCTGTGCAGAGGTATAAATGGTGGCCTGATATGTTTGATGAAACTCATTGACTTTGACAGTTGCCCATTGCTCTGACTCCTGTTTGCTTGTACAGGGTTGTAATTTTATGCAGTAGACACAATGCAATGCACTCTGCTTAAGCAAAATTCAAGGTTTGGGGTTGGTACTTCGTTGAGATGAAAGATGTCTGCTCTTAGCAGTATGAAGCACATTGAATAGCACTAAGAAGAGACCCCTACTTTAAGGCAGGGGGCTTGGACCTGGGCGGAATGAGATCTGCCTCTATGGAATGGGTGGCCCTGGACCCACAAGATGGCACCAGTGGACAGCTTTTCTCACCGAGGCTGTGACGCTTGCAGGCCTCCAGGTCATGTGTTCCCCAAATGTCCCTTTAGGTTTCTTTTCTTCCCCACCATGTTCTGTTTTTTCGCCGTCCTGCACAGCACTGCTGCAGATGCGGCAGGAGCAGCACCGTGCCTTTGGAAATCCCCACCTGTCCAGTTCCAGCTGTGGCAGGCACAGGAACTCTCATGACACGGTGGTGACACCAAACCCACGAACTAAAGCAGATATGTTATGCCAGCAGATCACAGCTTACTACCCTGACAGTGGTCAGTTTTACATCTGAAGCTCAGTGTCATCTCCAAAATAAATCTGGCTCATCTAATAACGGCTGAGTGTGATGCATGAGGAAGAAATAAAACTGATCTTTTTGATTTAGACTTCAGGATTCCTGCAAGCAGAAATTACATCAAGAGCCTTACAGACTCTGTGAAGGGGGCAGAACTAGAGCACTTCAGCAACATATTTTAACTACCCCATCTTGCCTAGCCTATGCAGTACTCACTTATGTGTGTGCTTTTCAGTAGACCAAAAGCAGGTGAGATTCTTAGCTTCCAGATGAAAAATAATTTGATTTCATTTAGTTTGACTTGAATTCGACTCCAGAGAAAGTTTTTCATTTTGGTAGAACTTTGAGCACCCGTCAAGTACCTGCTTCCACCTTGTCAGGCATGAGATGTACATTCTGATAGCAGATGGGTCAGACTGCCCTGCTAGCCCACGTGCAGATGGAGGCTGTCTCATGGAGAACGTTGGGTTACCAATCCACACTACTTACAAGCATCACATCACAGCACATCACAGCACAGCACAGCACATCACAGCACATCACAGACCTGCATGTGTGGGTTTACCATTAGTGCTTTGCTTAGTGAGTGTAAAAAGAATGGAAAATACTACAAACAGCAGTCAGCTTTTTTCCCCCATGGATTGTTGAAGCATCCTAAGTGCTGCATATAAACAAAACTATTCTTTTTTCTTCTTTCTTTCTCCCTTTTCTTGCTTGGTCAATGAGAACTACCCCTTCATTCTTGGTAACATCTAAACGACCGTAGATTAATTGCCTAATGGATGACTGACTGCAAACGCACTGGTGTATCAAGGTAACATTGAAGCTCAAGCTGGCTGTTCAGGCTATTTTCTAGTTCTGCTCCATTAAAGGTAATTTTCCTAATTTCCAAACTTTCTTTTACGGAGAAGATCAAGGAAAAAGCCCACATTGTCTCTAAACTGCAGGAGCAGATTCCTACCTATCCATGACTAAGCTGAGGGCAATGAGATTGCATGAGCCTGCTGTTGTCTGCATGAGCAGATGTCATCAAGAATCTGGACAGAGTCTGGGATCAGAAAACAAAATTTGCATTTTAGATATTTTTTTGGACAATGAACTTCAGTTTTCCTTTTATTCTGTATTTCAGACTGAAATATTTCCTGTACTATTCCATTAGCAGTGTGGTTAAGGTCTCATATATATTACAGACAACCTGGCAAACTGAATAGCAAGTGCACTGTGTAGAAAAATCCCTTGTTGGTAGTGACAGCAGAGGGCGTTTGCCAAGAGGCTTCGTTTTCCTGGGTTTCTTAGGTCCAGCAGAGCTCCCTGTGAGTTACCAGCAGGCCTCCTGCAAGTGACACTTCACAGGCACTTCACTTCCACCTGTATGAGGACCTCTGCTGAAATCTTATTTCATCCAATTTTTAGCTGTCTTACCTGCTGACTTGCTGTGATTTTCATGTGGTATAATTTGGACCAAAAACTGGCAGCAGTACTTGTGAACTCATCCTTGGTTTATAAATGTGCATCAGCCAGCAGCACAGTGCCTATCTTAGATATTGTCCTGTCTTTTCTTGTATCACCTTCCTCTGCACTGGTAGATTTCAAAGGGCTCTGTAAAAATCCCAGTATCCCCATGGTATCTGCAGGTAGAGCAGGGCATGCAGGAGGCACAGTCAGATGTGCATGGATCAATAGCAAGTGAGGAGAATTTCAGCATCTAGAGCATGGCCTGCCATGTGCTGATCCAGTTTCCTGCTGTTTCTGAGGCATCAGAAGAAATAAGTAAAATAATTAACAGAATCAATGCATGCACTGAAAGTGCCCGAAAGAGAAGTGAGCAGTGCCCCACTGATTCATGCAGCACAGCTGGAGGCAGCACAGGCTTTCTGTGTAATTCAACAGCTCATATGAGATTTGAAATTTAGGATCATAGGATCATAGAATTGCTGGAAAAGAACTTCTAGATCATAGAGTCCAACCCAGGACTGCCACATCCACCACAAAACATTGTCCCTAAGCACCACATCCAAACATCTTTTAAATACCTCCAGAGATGATGGCTCAACCAGTTTCCTGGGCAGCTTAGTCCAGTGCTTGGCAACCCTGTCAGTGAATAAATATTTCCTAATATCCAGCCTAAACATTCCCTGGAATAACTTGAGGTCATTTCCTCTTGTCCTATGGACACCTTTTTGCCTGAGCAGAGCATTTCTTTTGATTTTTCTAGTGAAGGAAGTTATATCTAATTATCACAATTGGGAACTTCAGGCCAGGCAGTTTTGATGCTGGGCATATATTTTAAAATACAACTCTCCCAAGGCAACCCAGCACCTAAGAGGCACCAGCCACCTTGTTAGGAAGTCACACATTGAACAGTCAGTGTTGATACAATGGATTATAAGGTGAATTACAGTGTAACCAGGCTGTATTAGCAAGATGCCATCAAACTGCACACAGAGTGTAAACTGATGGACGGAAAAGTAAATTCCTTATTTGACATTCCAGAAACACATAACCTGAGCCAAGAGTTCAAGAACCACAATGAAATAAAAAAGACAGACAGCTGCTTGTTTGTCAGGATATCTCTGTGTAGAATTAGAGGCTTTAATTACATATGGGGAATATTAATAACAGTTCAAAGTGGAATGTAGCTAATCATTACGGTAGGATCTCCAAGCAGAGTGATGGTGAAGCCATGCAAGATTTTCTTTCAGAGGAAATGAAAACTCAGCAAATCTATTTAGAGTAATAGCAGTGGGTAGTAGTCCGAGATCTAGGTTGACTTTTTTGTCTAAATAGATCAGAAAAATTCAATCACAATTAGAAGGCACAATACTGTACAGATTTGGCTAACCTCTCTAGTCATCCTGAGATCCAGAAAACACAGGAGATGGCTTAAAAACAATGAGAAATAATAATAATAATAATAACAACAATATTATTATTATTATTATTATTATTATTATCATTATTATTATTATTATTATTATTGTTATTAAATTAGGTGGTTTTCCTTCTAGTTTTTAAGCTTTTAAATTTTATGTTTCCAGTCTGTACCCAGCAATGTTGAGGCTAACACTCTTAAAAAGGAACTAATGGCTGGCAGAGCTGAGATTGTTTGAAAGCAACACATTTGAAGAGATGCAGAATAGTGAGGAGAACTCCATCTTCTGTACAAGCATCAATATGCTTCATAATGAGGCAAACTCATCCACTACAAGTGGTTATTGACTCGCAGAGAGGAATGAAGGAATTGCTTCTTCAGGATTTTGTTTGGCATATGGAAAGCATTTAATTCCCTCTCTGATCTCTGGGCAAAAAAAAAGTCAGTTCTTACACAGCTCTGGTCTACAGAACTGAACTATTTGCCAAACTTTAAATCTAAACCCATGTTGTTACATCAGCATTTTTCTCCTGTGAGTTCTTATTCCTTGTGGGTCTCTGAGAAATCCACATTTCTCTGGAATAAGCATTACACCAGTATACTGCCAGTGGTCAAAGTGGCAGGAATTCTTTATCTGGTCTAAGCAAAGAAATGCTTTAATGAAACAGCTCTGCAGGATTTGGACTGTTTCAGGCTGCAAGTAACTGGAAACATACGTCTTTCTTATTTCTGTATTGATTTCTCTCAGATACAGCATGCTTTCATTTCCAATGTGTATCTGTCAGTTTGATTTCTTCTCATATTTTGGAGTCCCCTGGTAGCTGTAATTCAGCCCTTGGCCTGCCCTCTGACATGGTGAGGACAGCAGCACACAATCA